GCATGTAGGTTTTTCTTTTCCGAATATATCGTGATATGAACAAAGATTTCCCCTATTCTGAAATATCCAACGTATATTCGAGAATTACTATCGAACTGAAACAGTATCTAATTTATTTTATTTGAATGTAGTGTCTACGAATGTCGTCATGTTAGCAAGCGGAATTTTACTAGCGTTTTTGTATTGGCAAGATTCAATTTCACTGTAGAAACAAATGTTTTCTGTTTAGTTTTTAAATATATACATATATACAGGTAGGACACTCGAGAATCTGAACAACTTTTATCAAAATACAAAGTAGAAATCTGAAAGTATCTAACTAATTTGACAACGTAACCGCACCGTTTTATTTATTTTATGAAGAAGACCATTTTCTACAATAAACTCTCTAATGATGGTAGAACGGCGCTAAACAACAACAACATCCCCTATTTCTGTAAAACTATTCTAAAATAAAATCTAATCTTGTTTTATCTTAAAACTTACGTCGAATAGGAACTTCCTTTTTTTTCAATCTCTCTAAAAATCTCTAGGTAGGAGCTTTTTCTCGATAGCCATTTGTTTTATTCACAGTAATCCATACCAAACACACAGGAATAAGGAAATAAACACAAAGTAATTAGAGACACTTTATTAGTTAAATTAAAGTATCCATTTATACCCGACACAAATAGCTAGGTATTTATTATGATTTCTAATTAAGTAATCGGATCTGTATTCTCAAATTTTAAACAACAACGGATTACATATAAATCACATTTATAAGTCAAATTTACACTGAGGGAATGATTAGGTACGGAAAAATATACATCCTAATAAATTGAAACATTTCCAGAAACATTCCCATTCTTTCTTTCGGTTATTAATGGTATTTTATAATCCGTTGAATACACAGAAGAAGACTGTTCTGTATTCTAGGCATATGCCTCTACAATATGTTTCTATGTGGCACGGACCCTGGCTTAGCGTTCTATATCTTTAAACCATCTTTCTGGTGGTCTGTACGTCTTTTGTTTGTCTTAAGCGTCTAAAAGTCTATTAGACGCTTTCAAACAGTCGCTATTACTAAGTAGTAATAAGGATCAGCGAGTTATGGAAGGAAGGATACCTATCCTTCCTTCCAAAACTCGCTGACTTAAGTACTGAATTAGTCATTAGTCACAATACACACCTACTCTAGTATAGGAAACAACATAGTTAAACTAAATAATATTTAATGTATATAACAAGTTTTAACAAAAAATGTTATACCTAAATATCCGAAACCCCGCAATAATTAATATTCATGACTATCCTAGCAGGTATATTTTGTTCCACAACAAAAAGAAATAGCTATCTACCAATCGTGGCTAAATTCATGCCGCGCCAACTCAGGGGAAAACTCTATTGACTGAAAAGAGAATTATTTCCATTTTAGCGAATATATCATGTAATAATATACGCGCGCCTGCTTCATAGTGGATACATAATTGTATTATGTATATTTGGTTCCACAAAAAAATGAAATTTCTCCTTTTGGCAGTCGATTGGAAATAATTGTTGAACCTTTAGTAATAACCCCGCTATAATATATTCTATAAATTAATGTTTAGCATATTACCGGTATGCTACTTCCTTACTTATCAACTTGGAACTAAATGTGGACATAACAAATGTAGGTATTTGCAATTGTGGTAAGAGAGACATGCTTTAGAACTAGATATAGACGACTTGTCTAACTTGTTTTCTGCCTATTATTAAAAACAAACATAATAACAAGAATTTTAAAGGCTTTGGCTTTTTTTATTGAGTTATTCAAGTGATTTTGCAGTCAGAAACTTAACAATGTTTTTTAAATTATCAATTAAAAACTGTTGCCATAAAATATTTACATTATTGTATATGTTATGTTTAATTGGACTGTAATAATTATGTATTTAATGCATAAATTGACAACTAAGAAATAAATATAAATAATACACTTACCTTTACATAAATGCAACATACAACTATCTAAACATTCCTAAGTGATTACTGTAAAATCTAGGTTTAGCCTAAGGTGCAAATAGTATTATGTCGCTATATATACATACATAAAAGACGTTGTGCGTCTAGGCTGAGATCCCCAGAGGCATAGCGAGGTGATTTATATTATGCAACCACAAACATACATCCCCGGAGACTTGAAGTCTCCACTTCTGAAACAATGACAACATTCAGACAGTATGAACATAAACATACCTACCTGCAGAACATTATAATTACTTTAGACTAGCTGATCTTGCTACTACGTCCCTGTGATACTCGAAATTACAATTCTATATTACGATTATATATCAAGTTTATATTTACTTTGTTTGTAAACCGATTCGAATAAATAAATATTATGAGACACTTAGTAAAATACATCCGTGAAAACCAAACTGTAATCGGTGCAGACATTTTGTTTTGAAAGAAAGAGTATTTAACTATATTAATAAATATTGTGTACATGCTGTGTAATCTTTACTTAATATTATCTTTTATGAATTGATTATGGACTCATTTAATCTGAATGAACAGAATGAATGAACAGTTTCTTACATTCTTATTTTTAATTATATACCTACCTACATAGATATTTTTTAAATGCACTGCCCACATAAATTTCTGTTTGCCCTTGGTTTACTGAGAGTCTGCCATAAGGACCTTTATTTGTGTATTAATAAATAAATATTAGCGTGCATCACCGCATCGTAACTGTAAACTTTTTTTTATTTTAAATACACGGCTCGTCCGTTTTCTTTTACAAAGATAAATGTTTAATATTTATTTTCCGGTAAGTAGGGAGATAGGTGGTTGTGGAATCAGAAGGTAAATCCTGCTTTTATATAGTAGTACTGCGAGTATATTTTATTATAGACTATTAGTTTGTCCCTATCACAAGAAAAATAAGTTATAGTAGTTACTTGGACTTCGGATTACGTGAAACAGAATTAACGCATTTCCTGAAAGTATAGTTTGCTCATAAAGAACAAGTTACTGAATCGACAGGCTAAGAATACATTACCTTGTAATGTAAGAATTATGTTTCTTTAAAAAGATAATTTTAAGGAATAAATCTTATTACAGTGAAAAATATTACTTACTCGTATTTAAAAAGGTCCCTATATCTAAATTTAAACTTATTAATTACAGTTTTCAAATGCTTTTGACGCAAAATTAAAACATAATATTTAATTATAAAATATAGATTTATTATTTCTTTTATTTGCATAAAGTAGTCGGTTTTGTAGTGTAAGATATTGTTTTAATTCTGTAATATGTAAAACTGCAATTTTTAAAGTATCAAAACTAGACCTACTGTTTATTTGAGAATTACCTTTAAATAGGTATTCCCCGTAAGGCGGTGCCCTCAGACCTTCTGACTCTGTAATTAAGATTACAAAATAATGAAGGTGATGCTGTAAAAACACTAATATTCCAGAAAGTTAAATTAAGGCAATGAAAGCATTCCGCATTAACAAGGTAGGCCCTAAGCTCTTAATCCTTCCTTCAACAATAAGCTTTACGAACATAAAGCTATAATCTATAGATACAATTTGTAGTACTAAAATAATATTTGAATTATAATTTGATTAAAATACCGTTAGCTACTTACTCTCTACCAACATTTGGGTTGTAAAACCTAATGAAAGGACAGGGCTCAAATATACGTTGTTTTGCAAGCCTAGATATATTTATCAATATACCTAATAACAAAACTTAATCTCATAATTATCGCTCCAGTCATATTATTGTCATCAAGAATCTCCCAAACTATTTGACTTTCTATATTCCCCTCCCATTTATTATTGTAAAATATTCAAACTTTCAGCAAAATATTCCATTTATTTAAACATATTATTTGATCTCATTGCCAGCTCAAGCTGGCTGGCTGACTCAAAGGAATAATTCGCAATTAGAATATATTTGTTTGTATTAGCCGGTACCTACCTTCGCCGAACGGAACCTTTTATAACGTATTTAACCATATCTGTACTATTTTGTCTAAAGGGTTTGTATACATACAGCATATAAAAATATTTGTTGCGATAGAATATTTTTTAAATTAAAATCACTTCCAACATTTATTTAATATCCAGCGCCATCTAGTGACAGTTGCTGTCCATCACAAAGCAGTACAGTTGTACACTACGTTTTATAAAACTTGGCACCGCCATAATGAGAATTGAACTTAAACAATAATCGGACCAAAAAAGAAAACTACGCAAATAAATTATATAAAACCTCCAAAATGAATATATGCAAAACAATTACTTGTAAAATTCCCGTACGGAAATAAATTTGTTTTTAGTTTTTATTTCAGATTCATATAAAATATAATATGTAATAGAATATGATGATATTCTCTTTAATTATTTACCAACTATTTATAAATTTGTCATGGCTTTTTTTTGTATGAAATATCTTAAGATTTATTTATATACATATATACAAGGTAATTTGTTTGCGGTAATAATTTGTAACGAATATCTACTGTTTTCGTGTAACGGAACGTATATTTTAGTTGGAGGAAAAGTCCGGAAGTATTTTTAATATATACAGCCATGAATACTGACTCTAATTATATAATATGTAGGTATATGCATTCGAAGTATAAACTACTAGACATTCCATGAAACCTCACCTCACATATACATGACACATGATTTACTAAGTAGGTATCTATATCTACTAATATGACGTAGGTATTTATAGTCAAGGTTGTCGGTTATGACACTACCGAAACTAGCTGATAATATCTTGGCACTCGACCCAAGAAGTATAATAATTGGAATCGATTATTGTTCATATCCGCACATAATGTCCATAATAGCAAGCGCATTAATATTTATGTAAACATACAATCGGCACCATTTTTATTTTAACAATAAATGATATAATATAATAATCTGTAAGTACCGGCCTACCTGTGGATAGGTAATATAAGTGCGGAATTATATTTTTATAATTAAGATTTACTAATTTTATATTTACAGAATCATAATGCCGCTTGCAACTGTTGAGCAAGGTACATTGCAAGGTATAATTTGTGATCACGGTGGTGGAAGTTACGTTGCATTCAAAGGTATACCCTACGCGAAGCCGCCGATTGGGAAATTGAGGTTCAAAGTAAGTTTATATTTTTTCTTAATATAATAAAAAATATCTATCGATGTGCTCCCTCTAATACAGTTGAATGCAATGATGGCTCGCTCATCCGTAATACTCGTGAACGAATGCTGCTTGTGGGGACTGGTCTGTTCAGGTTGCGCACACTGATTAGATTTTTTGTTTTTTTTTCAATAGCATATGCTGGTGGTCATATATTCTCCCAAATTTGAATTTAAATGAATCTGTATTATTGTAAATATGTACATTTAAAAAAAATACGAGCTGACTTTCTTGTCAGTTCTTCTAATCTCGAAATCGATCCAAACTGACGGTAGATTTGACATATCATAAGAGTCTGTAATAGACCTATATGAATTATTTTGAATTTGAATCTTCCCAAATTCAATGTACGTAATAAATGTGTAAATAATACGTAAATATTTACAAATTTAAAAATATATGTTTTTTTATTTGCATAGTCCAACATACGAGTATTTTCCTGTGCAGAAATTTATAACTGTTTTATGAATATATTCATCATTATTTCTACCATAAATAGTACAAGGCAAAATCTGTCTGATTCAGAGCTTACATCCAAACCACACAACGGACTTCGATTCGAATTCTAGTACTATGTATGTCACAGTGACATATTGACGCACCCAAAATTTATTATGCTACCAAGCAGTTCTCGATTGAAAGTTTGGTCTATTATACTGAATTTGCAGGAGTGCTTTTTTCGTTTGTTTCTTTTCATTATACTTTGGCACCTGTCTGCGTTTACAGTTAACACTAGTGTGAACCCTTTTAGTGAAAATGTTAGGATTAGAATGACGTCAGATCAGTTTTTTTTTTATGGATGACAATGGAATGGTGCACCCGCCTGCGCTAACGGTTTACGCTGGCGGGGCACCAGTGGAAGATGATAAGATGAGCATGAGGTCAGGCCAGTTAGCCCATCGTGACAAATTCACCAAGGACTTATCACGATGGTTTCCAGGGGGAACCGCGTGGAGGTCAACCTCTTGGGCTCAATATGGTTAATTCCATGGTTAATATACCAGTAATTAACCAAGCTAGTTTTCAGGGTAGACGTCGTTGAGGTTAAACTGTAGTGTAGTGTACAATAGGCATACGGGGTCCCAACATTGCTAATTGCAACTTTGTTCGCGTCAGCCCAAAGTATGAAACATTAGCCGTTGCAGACACTAACAAAAAATAGGATAAATTATTAATAGTGATAAGGTATAACGTTGCGATACTATTGCCTATGACGTTATCGATGATTTTGATAATTTGATGATTCATGTCCGGTGACTAAGAAAACATTACCAAGTCTGTTATTGAACATACCCATAATGCACACATACATAATGCAATACGAATAAATTCCTAAAAAAATATGAAACATTGTAGGCAAATGAGTATAGATTCAATACCTAACGTCAGAGGGCATAGTATTGATCATTTACTTGGCACAAATTCGATTGCGTTGTAGCTTTTTCATACCATCATATATTGTAATATTTGAAAAAGATACGCTTTATATTATATTAGGTCTTAACAATTATATTAACCGTGGCAGTTGACATTTTTTCTCTAGTAACGACAATGCAAAACAAGCTAACGACCGACCTAATGGCAGTGGTAGAGGTCGCCTAATCAAGTCGCGTCTATTGCACCTGTCATTCATAAGGTGCCTTCATACGTTGTAATTTCACTGTCATACTTTACAGTTCACAAACACACCTTAACCTTACCACATCCACACACCAGTTACCTATACACACCTTACAAAGCAACAATAGGTGGCATCAGAAATAATTAAGACAGAGATACCCACGCGGACAGTTTTGTATACAAAGTATAATTGGAATACCAAGGAATTGTTTTGATAATAATAATAAGCCAGGGAAATTTATACAGTACTATCTAATCCAGAACTAAGCAAAGCTTGTGTTGTTTTTATCATTGTCTATTTCATAGAAAAGACTAAGACCAATAAATCATACTCATCAATCGGAAGTATGAAGGTGTGCTAAATGGGTAGACCACTCAAGTCGTCAACAAATTATCCTGTCTGGAACAGATAATAGACGTAAACAATAAACATATTACTTTACACATGCTTAATCATTAAAACTACTTATGATTAATCCGCTCGAAATTACATCTAGTAATTCGTGGATAATTATTATACTAGTGAGTTTAAAATTTACCTTGTGATATTTCCAGGCACCGGAGCCTCCGGAGTCGTGGGATGGAGTTCGGGACGCTACTCAACATGGACCAATCTGCCCACAATACAATGAGCGGATGGACAGAATCCATATTGGAACTGAAGACTGTCTCTATTTAAATGTTTATACGAAAACCGTCACTCCTGCAAAACCTCTTCCTGTCATGGTGTGGATTCACGGCGGAAGTTTCTACACGGGCTCTGGAGATTCTGACTTTTATGGGCCTGAATTTTTTATGATGCACGATGTTATCCTAGTCACGTTCAACTATAGACTGGAAGTTTTGGGATTTTTGTGTCTAAACAATGAGGAAGTTCCCGGTAACGCTGGTTTAAAAGATCAAGTGGCTGCATTAAAATGGGTTAATAAAAATATAGCAGTTTTCGGCGGCGACCCTAACAATGTTACCATATTCGGTTGCAGTGCAGGCTCGGGTGCCTGCTCCTTACACTTAATATCGAAGATGAGCAAAGGGCTGTTCCACAAAGCTATATTACAAAGCGGTGTTTGCCTCAGTGAATGGTGCTATAATATTTATCCTACAGAACGAGCATTTCAACTTGGTAAACTACTAGGGAAGGAAACTGAAGACAGCACTGAATTATTAGAATTTTTAAGAAACGAGCCAACATCATCGCTCGTTAAAATTCAATTACCTATTTTAGAATCAAAGTTTTTCGATTTAGCAGACAATATTTTCTTCGGGCCAGTAATAGAAAAATCATATCCAAATGTAGACAATTTTTTAACTGAACATCCTTTGGAATTAGTCAGAAAAGGGCATCTGGCAGACGTTCCCATCATTCTAGGCTACACATCCGGCGAGGGAATTGAAGTGGCTCGCCAATTACCAAAATTAATGCCTTTTCTATCCACAACAGGAGCTGTTGTGCCTAGAGAGTTGAAATTAAAATGGCCAATAGAACAATTAATAGAAGCTGATAAAAAAATTCGCAATCATTACTTTGGAGGCAAAGATATATCAGCAGAAATTTTGAAGGACTTAGTAAAATTGGAATCTGATAAATTGTTTATCTATAATATAATTAGATTCGCCCGATATCATACGCATTACAATTCAAATCCCGCATATTTATACAAGTTTGTTGCAGAAACTGAGAGGAATTACGTAAAAAAGCTCTATAATATGGAATCAGTAGAAGGCGTTTGTCATTCAGATGAACTGCACTATCTATTCAATGTTACTTGCTTAGACATACCATTATCGGAGGAATCAAAACATATAATAAAGGACTTCGTCAGACTGTGGACGAACTTTGCTATTACAGGGTAAGCATATAAAAACTTGTATAAGAAATAAAAATCGGAAATTATTTTCAATGCACTAATCTTAAAGTAACATTTCTTTTGCATAGAAATGTCAGCTTACTCGCAAAGGGTAAGCCAAAGCTCAGGTAGAAAATGTATGAAACTAACTCATATAAACTAAACTTTCACCAAGAAATAAACTGGTAATATATATATATTTTTTAATTTTCATATTATGTAAATTGTTCACGAAACCATTCATTTTGTTGAAGGATTTAAAAATTATTATCACTTTATTTCTTGACAAAAGTAACCATTCAGATTTATGAATACTATCGATTAGGTTCCGTCATGATGGACCCCATACGACTAACTTATATTTTATGTTACATGTCAAGTAATCAGGCGACTTAGTATATTTGAGATTTTCTTCTCCATGAACGATATATTTATGCATTGTTCTATGTCACCTCTTACATACTTAAAATAAATAAGAACGGTAACATATGGTAGCGGTGACTGAGTATGAATACAATGGGTATTGATACTTTGTCATCGCCACTACAATATAATTTAAATATAGGTGTCAATAACAAACTACTTAATAGTTATTCAGCTATGGTATTTGTTAGTAACAGTTAGCATAAGTTCATAAATAAATTATAATTATATGCCCCGCACTGCACGACCCACGCCCACGATCTAAACATACCTATATGCAAAATTTTAGTAGTATGTACGTAAAAAAATATTTTAGAAGTTCATAATAAAAATTAATATGCTTCAGACAGATGTTATACTTACTTATCTGTGTATTGTCTTTACAGAAACCCAACACCATCAAGTACTAGTGTACAATGGAAACAATTTACAGAGAAAGAACGCAACTGTTATACTATTGGAAAACAATTTACATGTGTACAAAATGACAATGAAAAAAACAATACATTATGGGAATCTATTTATGAGGAATCAGAACTTGATGTAAATTAAATGAAAATGAAAACCATACGTTTTCATTCTACCATTTCTACCATAAAGATGTGATACTTATTTGTTATTGAAATTACTCAAAATACTTATTTATATGTTCAAACAAATGTGAAACTCATATTATTATCCTTGTTTATATACGAGTAGAAATAGACTTCAGTATTAAAATGTACATAATAATTTTATCTGATTAGTTGGTCGTTTAGCAAATCTAATTTATATTTTATTAATATTAAATGTTAGTACTTATTCTGTATTTCTATTTATCATGTTAACTTGTTCCAAGACTTGTAATTATTGTAAGAATTAAAACTTTTCAATGTCTTTTTAGTGGATAATAATGGTATTGTGTACTCGAGGGGACGATGAGATTTTTTTATTTTATACTACTATGTTGGCAAACTGATTATGTTACTATTGCACCCTGACAATTCTGACGTCCACCCAGACATCCTGGAAACCGTAGTGTTAAGCAGTGAATTCGGCCTTAATGGGGTATCTGACCTGATTTCTCGCTCATCCCATAAATGGCTCGCAATCAGCTTATACATATAGCCGAGGTGCCATATATCTTATTTATTTGCCATTCCCGAAAATTAACACAGAAGTGTGACACTTCTGTACCTAGACCAAACATTCTTATGCGGAAGTCTACCACAACTGTGGAATATTTCCACAAGAACCGTAAAATAAATATGCTAAGGATCATATAGCGTCTTTACAACCAAATAAAACCAATATCGAAATTAATTCTTACATATAATTATATTATTAGTAAATTTCTTATTATAATACTAAAATACTACAATAACGCATTAATCTGAAGGAATCGCAATACATTTTACATACTGGACACGTATGTAACAACAAAAAAAAACAAATTAATAATTATATCTAAATGATTTATGCGTTATTGCAGCACACATATCAGAAACCTCGATACACTGTGAACACGCACGCTGTCATTATTTTACTGTTTACTCCATTCATAATACCATAATTCTTAAATGAAAATAAATTACAATAGATAGAAAATAAAAAATGCATAGATTCTAATTTCATCTATTGTGCTAAAAAAACTCCCAAGGTTGCCGACTGCATAAGATCTCTCGTGTTTATATGAATGTGCATATAAAATTATTAGACTCATAGAATAAAATTATGTTGGAGAAATTGACATACCCATATATGAAAGTTTACAAAATGCTGATAATATAGCACATCGTACAAATCTAGTTTGACATTTTCAAATAAATGACCGAGAACAAATTTTTATCAACTATGGTCATCATAAAATGCGCTATCATATATTTTCTAACATTCTGTAAATATAATACTAATCGATCCTTCACCATACGTAATTAAATATCTAGCTTTGGCTCATTCTCGTGCGTGTACCTTGTTTAGTTGAACAGTCACAAGCAATGACTTTGTTAATTGATAACTAGTGTAATTAATAACTAGCAATTAATTGTACAGTGCATTTATGAATAAAGTTTATTATTATTATTATATTATTAATAACATAATTACAAAATTTAACCCTTTATTATTAGTACCGAAAAAAATAGATTACTATTTCTTTATAAAAACATCGGTGATTTTCTGCCCGCGTCGGGTTAAAAAAGGACTAGTCGCGATACTTGTATCGTTTTTCAAAAATATGATAAAGGTTAATATGAAATTATTTCATTGAATAAGAAATAATTTCATATACATTACGTTATAAACATATACATAATTATGAGGTCTGAGCTAAAATATGAGATTTTAACTACTTTTGTGCAAAGAATGACCCTCTTATCCATAGAAAAGTCAAACGTCTAACAGGCTTCTTTGAGGTTTTGAACTGTTGCTTTGTTCGAAGAAAGTGACAAAACAGAAATGCTTTAAAGAATAAATAGAGCAAAATTTTATAAAGACGGCAACCTTGCACTCTAACAATTTCTTTAAACATAATTCATATTTTAAATTAAACTTTACATAGTGATGCCACCATATTAAACATGTACATTTCTGCAGACAGAATGTTATTGTTGAGTTGACAATGAGAGACTTAAAATATGTTTAATTAATAAAATTAAAATAAATATAACTTAACAGTGATCTGAGGGTCTGTTCGTTATTCTATTTTCTATTACACTTACTAGAGACATAAAAAAATATCTTATTACCGTCTCTCACTCTGAGCACGCAGTACATAATGATGAATTGTACATACAATATAAAGCACAAATATTATAACAGTATTTTAATATGAATAGAATTGGTATGCCAGTCCTTTTATCATTACTATTATTCTATTCCAATTTATAGGCAATCTTCAAAGACTTATTCTATTCCAAATTATAGGCAATCTTCAAGGACTCTACTTAAACTGAAACTCTTTAGTAGATTTATTAAATAAATGTACCCATGCCAAAATACATTTACACACAATATAACAAGTGAAAAAAAATTAACAGAACGGAATTGTTTAATTAAATGTTAATAAAGTTAAATGATGTAATAATTTGATTTGACGGTATTTACTTATTACTAATAGAAGAAATGTATTTCGCCAATAATTGATTTATTTACCTGTGAAACAAAAGTTGACCAAATGACCTATCCTTTTAAATATGTTTCACACGATTAGCACGCAAGAACAATGTTCTGAACTCTTTGTACCATAATCTGGAAAAATATATATCTATTAATTTGTCCTATTTATTTACATTTTTCTCTGCTAAATTAATAAATTGTAGGATAGTAAGATGGAGCATTGAATTGCAAATGTATAGAATGCGTTCACGGTGTACGCGATGAGTGCATGAGGCTGACGCAGTCGAGGATGTCTCGTCGGTCAGTACCGACCGGAGCGCGAGTTGCGTGGCGGCTCGCGGCGACGTTCACGTGATCGCGAACGGCGGCGGCGCTCTCGTGAACGGCTGCGCGATCGTCGCCCACCTTTACGTCGCGAGTAAAGGTATCTGTAACGGACACATTATTTTGATACCTCAATACTATCAGTATATCCTGACAAATAAATAAGACTAATAAAATAATCTAACAACAATTCACACTGCGCTATCTAGACCCAAGTTAGGCTAGCTAAAGCTTATGTTATATTATGGGTACAAGATAACTGATACATATACAAGGATATTATTTTTTGGTAATACAAATGTTTGTGCCGTGCGAGGAATCGAACCCCCGATCGGAAGTTAGGCGGTGTGCTAAACCAGTGCTGTTGGAGGTATATTTTTGTTATAGTTAACAACATATTTAAAAATTGCCACCATTAATGTACTTCGCGTAAATTACATTCATTTGTTAGGTCAAGAAATAAATAATATTCTATGTTGACAACCATCTATTATGATCTTTACGCCAAATACCTCTATATCCAGTATTCATTGAATCCAAATCTATATTTGAAGTAAACTTATTGCTCAAAGTGAATGACTTTTATGATGCATAACTTACCTTCTAAGTTCTCTTGAGATTGGTTTAAGATGCATGAAGTTGCAGAAGCCACTCCGTGTACACTCTCCCATTTCGTACTGACGGCAACAAGCCTCGCGGAAGTCAGTGACTGGAGACAACTCAGCGTATACCGGCCGACCACCAAACCAACGATTGTTTAGATCATTTACAGCCTTCTCGGCGTCCTCTTCGCGACGAAACTGGAAACATTCGTACATTTAACTATTAAAAATTTGAAACCACAATGAGGTAACTTTGTACAAGTCATATGTGTCGCTACCTGTATTTCATGTATTTCAGCTAATAAGATTTGGTTTGTAAGCTGTTTTGGTTCAAGAGAAATTACATGATTGACATGATAGTCCTCCAGATTGTATGCCATGAGTTGTATCACAAACATCACATGTTAACTTTGAAACCAATGCCTTCTAAAAATCATACAAATTAAACATATGCTAGCCTAATAGTAGTAGACTGTTTGATGTGTGACCATTCTGAATTTAACATTATTTTATCCATTCAAAATAAACTTTGAAGTGTTTCTTTCACATTCACAAAATGTTTGACTGATATATAGATGATAACGCATACATAGATAAAAGGAGGAAATATATTGTATATAGGAGAAGAGACCACAAATACTTTTTAATTCCTATATAAATGATGGTCTAGCTGATCTGATTTCATCCACACCCTATTAAATTCTAATGCCAGCATATATTGTTACCGCTGACGCCAGTACCATTAGTTTTTATTGCTATACCATTAAAAAAATATATCATACTTTGATGTACACATTCCCAACTAAGTGATCACCAAGGTTGTCGCACACATTCATTTCTTCTATTTCACCATATTTATCTTCACATTCGACAAACACATCTTCAAAAAAATTGTCATAATGTTCCTGCATCTCTTCATCTGATACATTTGCTACAACCACTGTAAAGAAAGTGACAATAAATTAAAAATAGACAAATATTTTGTTATTTTGATAGTGCCTCTAATTATCCTATTGAGTTACTAATCCTGCATAAGATATTCATACATGGCTGCTAACTCAATTTGATAGTCAGAAAGAATATTATTAAAAATAATGTAATATTATATTGTGATGAATGCAGCACATGATACTCCCATATTTCGCAAGCTTTTTTTACTAAAGTAGCCTTTATCCATTTCTGGATTAATTTGGTTTTTTATTGTTTGCTATCATGGTATCATGGTAATAATAATATTAATTACTCAAATATTATTAATAAGTTTCAATAAATGATTAGTATAATGTCTATAGTCAGGTTTACTATTTATCAGATGCATCTACAATTTACGGAATATTCAATTTGATATAAATAAACAATATATAAACATTCAGGCAGAAAAACTAGTGTTAAATAATATTTAATAGTAATATACAACAGTAGTTCGATAATATCTCCTTGATGTGAAAAATTAATAATATTAAATTACAAGTATACAGTGATACTGACAGCATCAGTGGTCCAGTAGTATAGCATATCACTTTACTATCTGATTGTAGCAGATTTGATTTCTCGCATGCTCTAAAACATTTTGTATTTATGAGTATAATTGTTTGTATCAGTCTGGGTATAATCTATCTATAATATGTATTTATTTACAGAAAATGTATATATCAGTTGTCTAGTACCCATAACACATGCTCTACTTAGCTTAGGACTAGATGGCAAAGTATAATTGAGAGTAGTATAATTGAAATTATAAATTGAGATATTAGTATTATTATACTTTGCTAATACAAAAAAAAATATTATTTAGGTATAAATTATTAGTAAGTAAATTTAAGAGTTAGTAATTTAAAAAATAATATACATACAATGACTGCCGTCAGCAGACTTAGCAGAATTTTGAGGATTAACATATAAATTTTGTAATAACACAGTTTGTGAGAATGTAGGTTTATTGTGAATACGGGAACAACGATCCCCATGTCGACATGCTCCAATCTTGAAGTAAAAGGAGCAATTAACTCTGAAAAAATAAAAAAAGAGAATTAATGAACATAAATGATATTGAAGAATGCTACTAATTGAAATTAGATATATCTAAATACTAACTACTACTATAAAAACACAATAATTAATTATAGTATGGGTACATTGCATTATATTATAGAGGTTGTTTATGCCCTCTGTTGTGGACTCCAATATGGATAATACAAAATTTTATGGCACTGATAAAAACCACTACAAATTCTCTTTAGTTGCTCTATTTTGTTTAACCAATAATAACTATTTTTCAAGTTTCAACTGAAAATGCACTACAATGGAAAATATGTATGATAATGATTTTATAACAGATATATAAATTTATTTAAGGTTATGGATGTCTAGACACCATGCAAAGAGCCAAAAAATATAATCAAACCCTAAAAAGAGTAAGAGTAAATCAGAGTAACAGAAACATGAAGCTACCAGAGTTGTGGTTGAATTGTCACATGTTACGTTTTAAAGTTATAAATTATTATAAATAACATCTGATATATGTTGGAACACAAAATATCTTGGAACTTACTTGTCCTTTTCAGTACCAAATATAGCTGCTAGATACTCTGCCATTCTCTAACGCCGACACTGACCAAAAAATAACCTAATATTTGTGAACGAGATAAAGATAATACAATAAAATTTCGAGCCCTTAAATACAAAACCTGAAGATACAAAATTTGTAACCTAATTATGGTTATAATTTACGTTTACGGAGTTACAGACAAGCTAAAAACAAAAATTTTAAATTGACAAATTATAGATAGACTGAGCGTTAGCATTTTTTGGCATTCGGTGTGACCATGTTCATATTTATGATTTTGCTGAGTGCACAAGTATAGTGCTAAATTCTGAACAACATTTTGAAAGACAAGCATTTTGTAACAAATTATTATTGGTTAAGTGCACGTTTCCTGTAACACGGTTTCATTTTTAGTCAACTTTAATGAGTCACGAAATTTTTCCTGTAGATATTAAGGAATCGAGAAATAATGTGTGTATTTATGATTATTGTAACTAACTACTTATTGACACTTTATACAAGATTTTGCAGTTTGTCTTGACAGTAGAAGTTTAATCTTGATCTCGTGGGGATATTACCTCACATCAGGGTCATCAGTTGTGGTTAAGGAGAGGAATTAATAAGAAGAATAAGTAATCATTACACTTTTATGATTAACCAGCAATAAACGCAATGTATATACATCATTTGTATTTTATAACATATTAAAAACATGATATTTTAAGAGTTTTAGCAATGAGTTAAGGATTATCTTTTTTGGTACTATAAAATCACAGAGTACGGAGGTACAATACCTCACTTCTTCTAAATGGCAACGTACGTGCATGCCATGCATGAGGTGTATGGTATGACGATGATTTACTATTCCGCTTAAATAAATAAAAACACATTACTGCTAATTCAGCAGCGGTGCTAACCAATACAGTGTAATGTTTTTTAATGAAATAAATATTGGAATATATCTTAAGTAGATCAATGTATGTGACAATGACGCCATATATTTGATATTTAGATACCTTTTAATAAACCAGGAACATTATGCTGAATTGGGCTAAATTGTCTGTTGTCATTGCTTTGAAAATAAAGTTTGTATACGAACTCTATGGGCTTAAAAATTTCATGATCCACTGTCAATCAGGGAAGAGTCTGTTTCTGTCAATTGTCATTTGATTTGATTGACATAGTTATAGTCTTTCTGGTCTGTGCATAGTTTCTGTACCACTACTCCTATTATTTTTTGCTAATAAATTATTAAAAGAGATTTTTTAGTCCGTGATGCTGTGGCGAATAGTTTTATAACTTTAGTAGACTAAAAAAGTGTTCTGTTTAAGAACACACACATGATACTGCCTGTTAATTTCCATTTGATTAAGACAATTTAATTTAGACTTATAGGAGTGTTTGATTTCAAATTTCATGGCATCCTCCACAATAACTTCAATTTAGTTTTGCCTAGCCTTGATTACGAATTGTGACAATGTCTTACAATTCCACGCTTGACGACTTCTGTGGTTCTGATTTTTGGGTGAGTACTTCTTTACCTTAATAATCTTCCTTTACCCACATCGAAAGTAAGAAATAATTTCTTAACTAAGATTATTTTCATGTGGAAATTATTTATTAAAAATCAGTTTTCGTTAGGTATCACATAATTAACCATTGTTTATTGAGCACTACCTTCAGGTCAAGTCAGTTATGTTGTGGTGGAGAAAACTAAATATATAAAATATACGCGCTAATTGTATATGGATTATTTGCGAAATAAAAACTTAAAAAACTAAGTTTCTGGTGCCGATTAATATTCACGACGAAAAATTGGAAATATTTTTATATTTAAATAATAAATTTGGTTTAACTGGAACAAATTGTCTGTGTGTGTCTCTTTATATGTATAATAGTTACCTATTTAAATAAAATTTACATTGGCAATAAATAATAACAAATGTTAGAGTATAATAAAAAAAAACTTTGAATGTTATTATGGTAATAAAAGATAAATAAGGAAAATCCAAAGAGTAATTATCTATTTATTTTTCACAATAACATTAATAACAATCACATGTGAATATGTAAGTTAAATACAACATTGTAAGTTTTAATCTTTTGTAATGTGTAACTAGGAATTGAAACTCCAGATTGACAGCATAGACCACACTATTAAAAAATTGTGATTAGGAATGAAAACACTTATGCAAATCAATAATAAAATTATGTATCAATATGTGTACAAACACAGAATGGTAAAATGGAAACCATATGATTATAATGGTTTAAACCTTTTTGTTTTAGAATCCTATTAAAGATTGAGGTAGAACACTCATCAAACTCAACCTTTTTTATCAAGAAACAAAATTGAAAAAAAATGTTATAACATTTAATAAATACAATATATTCTATTCTACCTTACTTCTTATTAATATTTATTCCTTTGTATTAATTATTTGTACCATTTTATGAATGCTAACTATATAATCACTACCTTTTTTAGGATCACGGCTTTTGAGGGATTGATTTTCAAATTATCCAAAATGATTTCAACGTCATTGCATGTGTTTATATAGTTGCTGAGAATACATGTTGACTAAGAGACTTTGTTTGATAAATTAAATTATTTTATATATGTGATGTGGGTAAAACAAACACTTTCTACACACAGCACTTTGTATTTAAAGAAATCAAATTATATAAATAAATCACATAATGTATTTTAATGAATATAAATTATTTCCTCATTAGTCAATTACCAATGATCAATATCATAATGTATGTAAAATTTTATACATTTCATATACAATATATAAATAAAGCCATTAACATAATAAATTTATTTTGCATTTGCCTCTTTCTCTCAACTTACTATAAAAAAGAGCTTCTCAATCTGTATGTTATCTTTTATATTTTTTATATGATAACTTTGCCAAAGGGGAATATATTAATTAATAACATTATTATTTTTATGATGATAAATACAAAGTTTATCAGGATTACTCATAAAAGGCTACCATCTGTTTAAAGTGACAGTAAGTAAATGTATTAGGACAGTACGGAAATAATGGCCAGTGGTAAAATTATAATTGTCTATTACACATTACATATTATGGAGAAGAAGTCTATTTATGTAGCCTATATGTATCAGGAACAATGAATGAATTTTGATTGGTGAAAAAATATTTCCAATAAAGTAGTACTGGATATTACATACAAAGATACTACTAACCTCATACTCATGCTTATAATTTTTTTATTGGACGAATATCTTAGCAGTCAAAAATTACTCATACGAACAAAATTGCGAGAAAATAATAAAAACATAACCTTGGTCATTTCAAATTATCAAAGTCGCAGCCAAAAGTCATCACATTGTTATGACTCATCAATTCACAGTGGCTGACGCTAATAATTTGAATGGCCCAGTAGTTGTGACCTGAAATGATTACCTTGAGTATACAATCACTCTTAATAAAGATTATTATTAAGCCGTTACATAAGCATGGTTCCCATATCAAATCCGCTTTCGCGTTTGTCGAATAATTTTGTTGTGGTTTAGAGATGATATTTATAACTATAATTTGTTTCAACTAATCCAGTCTCACTACCACAAATGAGAGAATTCGGGAGGACCCTACATCCAGTTTGTTAGTAATGTGAACTACTGACGCCATTGCTAACAATGTGGCTCAGTTAGTTCCCTGCACAAGGCATTGGCAGATGGCCTGGAAACCATTGTATTTTATTCTTGGTGAATTCGCCACGTTCCCTTCCTCTGGTCCCGGCAGCGCAATCATTAGAGTTAACCATAGTTATGGAAAAAAATTATAGATAATGTCATTGTAATAATTTACATGATGTATACTGATATACTTGACATGTTCCTTTGAAATATTGAAAAAATATTTCATCAATTAATAATTGATAAAATATTTTATTTTAATTCAAAATTTATCTTTGAATTGATGAAAGAATTTTTAAAATACTCTCGGAATCCGTAACTATAGGGTTACATACACACAAACTTGCTCCCTATAACATTAACGAGATTTCTCTAGTCTCCAAGCTTTACAGTCCCGTCTTAATATCTGCGGTAGGTAATATTCAAACCCATGTCTTCGAAATTCAAAATTCCGACTCACAAACGCGACGAAAAATGCAATTTAATTTAAAATACTCTTCAAGGTTTTCTCGAATATGTATTTTCCCCAGAAAAATATATTGCATTGTATAATTTGATTTCGTAGAATAAAATTAACTACGGTCGCAGATAAATTTGGTAAGCTTTACCCATGGATCTATGAAGAAATAAATACAATGTTTTTGTTACAGGATTCCAATCTTACATGGTACACGAATAATCCGGAGTTAACACCATGTTTCCAGAAAACCGTCCTAGTATGGATACCATGTTTGTACCTGTGGGTGGCTGCCTTATTAGATATATACTATATACTACATAGTAAAGAGAGAAACATACCATGGAATATATTAAATATCAGCAAACTCGCAATTACGTGTCTATTAATAGTGGTGAAGTTTGTAGACCTTGGAGTCACTGTACATAACTCTTCACAGGAGGACAATGTAGTGTACAATGCAGATTATTATAGTCCGATAATAAAAATATTAACATTCGTAAGTACCCACAAATATAATAATAACATCTCAGACCATACTAGCTTTTATAAACCTTATATTTCTTCCGAGCAACACCACAGTCCGCAACAAACCTAATTGGTATTCGCTAGAATATGTAGTTATTATAATCACAAATTTCCTTACGAAAACAATGAAAAGTCTATTCTTTACTGTGGCTGGATCGAACATGGTCCAAAGTATCGAAAAACGTCTATGTTGGTGAAATATCGATACAGGTTAATATGATGATGAATCTTAATTTTAATCTAAAATACAGATTAACAATAATATAAAGTAAAAGCTTCAGAATCTATTTATTTAAATGTCACTTTCTGATAAATTATTTTGTAACGCATGGTGACAAAAATTATTTCCGTAATTTTCGGTACTAGGACTCGAATTTACAGGTTCCGTAATTAATGTATACCATTAATTATGAAACCTGTAAATTCGAGTCCATAGTACCGAAAATTGACAAGCGTAAACCCTGCAATTAATGAAAATACGGTATAGTTATTGCTATACCAATCTACAAGCTCCGTTACATTTGTTTCTACTTAAGTTACTTTCATAAACTTGACTTAACGACAACATCGACTCATGGAAGCGTGAAAGTACATACATACTAGTATTGTCTGCATTAAGTTCGTATTCAAATTCTGCTCCATAAAACAATCTAGCAAACTTTGTACAATGCTCGGGCTAGTCTCCTATCAGTAGGTATTTCATGTTTTGAGAAACATATTTTATTTTATTAAAAAATATATTAAGAGAATTATATATCGTAATTTTAAAATGTCGGCGTTTTACCACGTATTTGAATGACACATAGTATACAATGAAAAATTGTTGCTATCAGTTACGATTACCATCAAGTTACACAATCTTGCGTAATAAAAGACAGCATCTTATCGATTTAGTACTCTGCCTACTATCATACTTATCTAATAAGTGTGACCTGAAATTGTATTGTCACGTTTAACCTAATAATATAATTATATTGTTCTTTATGTTTATAGTCACATTAGTAATTTGGTTGTTATATAAAATATGGCGTGTTAGTACAGTTTCGTAGTGACAATCATCAAATTGTGGTTCAATTGTATAGGTTCAGATCCAGTGCCATTCAATTGTCCTGTATCATTAAATAACTTCACAATAAACTTTAAACGTTTGAATACACTGGGACTTCCCCGTAATGCAGAACGATGACGCGATCCATGTTAAAACATTTTGGTTCTATCATATACAGTACAAAATGCTTGCAAAACTACTACAATTAATTAGTCATTGCTTGTAGTCTCCACGATATTGCATAAGGCTTGTTCCAATCTTATCTAACTGTATTTATTCTTTCAATATCAACAGTCAGAAAGGTGGGGAATCGTAGGTATCTAGATATATTTAGACGTTGATCTGCGAATTGTAATCACAAATATGCTGCTAGTTTCCTCAACACTGTAGATTACATATATCAATTGATAAAGAATCTACGAAAACTACAATATCAATTGATACTATGAGATTACTAAATGATATGAATAATTTTTTCAAAAGAATATTTCGCATCGTAATGTATGTATTTCATTAGAACTGTAACACGTGCTTGTTCTCTCTTTTGTCTTATTAGCCTACGATTGTATAACATATTTAATACTAAAATACTATGGTAATTGTCCAAAACTATAAATACAAAACCGCACGCGGATGTTACCAAATGACCTCTAAGTTAATGGCTAATTTCCTAGAAAAGAAAAACGGTTGTGATAGTAGGAATGATGTTACGATAGTCCACACCCAAACTACACAAGTTCCTTTTAAGTAAAATTACGTATACAGTATCCCTAAAATCGATGACTATCAAACTTTAATATTTAATGAGTCCTTGTACTTACCTTCCTGTACATAAATGTGTTAATGTATAGGTGATAGAGTAATATGTTAATAGAAAATTTTAAATACCACGGTAGTATAGCGGTTTGGCACCTTTCCTTACTTTCAAAAGGTTACGGGTTCGAAATCCGTAAATACAAATATTTATATTCATCTGTATATCTCTTTATACCAACAAAAAAGTTAATAGAATCGAACTTCAATATTTGTTAACATTAATATTTTATAATTTCATCATCACATATTTTTATTTCCGAGTATGCTGGTTAGAATTGTTAAGTAACTTATTCTTTTCAGGGTTTATCGGCCACACTATTGTATTATAATAGAAAATTTGGTATGAGAGCATCAGGGGTGCTATTTTTCTTTTGGTTACTGTTAATATTAGCAGGGCTGCCACAGCTCAGATCTGAAATCATGCGGCATTACTTAATGGAAGACGACGAAACTGTTAAATACAACTTCGTCAGTTATATGGTTTATTATCCACTAATAGTTTTAATGTTTATATTAAATTGTTTCGCCGACTTGCCACCTAAAGATACACCGTACAAATATGAAAAGGTAAGATTTTATAATGAAACTACATCTTTATTATGAATATTTTTTTTTTTAGAATGAGTTCAAATTAGGCTTGCAAAATTTAGATGTACATTAACTGCAATTATATAATTGTAGTAATAATAACAACAATATTAAGTAAAACAGCATACTGTGTTGTATTATTTCTACACTTACCCGATCGTTGCGTTCAAGAGAAAGTTGACAATTTGTTGACTTTACCTTGACACTAGACGTGAGGTCAGTTACTACTAGTACTTCAAAATTTGTCATAAAAATATATTAGTAAAAGGAATAAACTAATATTAATAAAAGAAAATGAAAGTCCAGGACTTCCAGAATAGCATTAGAATCATTTACTGCCATTCTAGCAAATAGAAAACCAATAATATTAATGTATTCAGCGTTTTAACAATTTTATCTTTTTTAACAGAACCAATGTCCAGAAAGTGCATCAGGATTCCCGAGTCGCCTTACTTTTAGCTGGTTCGATCCATTAGCGTTAACAGGGTTCCGCCGGAGCCTTACAGAGAATGACTTATGGGCTCTCAATCCACCAGATTCTTCCACTGAGGTGGTACCACGCTTCGACAAATTTTGGGAAAGATCATTAACGAAAAGGGAAAAGTAAGTGTGTTATTTAATTACATTTATTGGCTACTACTATATATAAAATATTTGTAACATAATCAGGAGACTGTAGCGAACTCCTTATTAATTTTAATTGTATTATGTTTTTTATTTGCGTATTTGTTTTACAAACTTCAGTGTTATACAATTTATTTAAAACATGCAGTAATTCGCGTAATCTATTTATTTACCATTTACTCCGTTTCTAACAACTGCGATTATAAACATTTATGTAACCTACTTACAGTCTAGTATAAAAAACGTTTAAACAGTTAACAGGGGAGCACGACTTTGCATATGTATATTTGCAATGCATAACCGCCTTTTACGGTAGTCTTAAAATATAGACGAGAGCAGTGATATTCTTACTCGGATACAATACTGAGAAATTCCCGCTCTTTACGTATAACCTAATTTATGAATACACATATAGCATTTAACTGCAAGTCCTGTTTCCCGCTTAAATATAAATTAAAACTGTATTCAGCAATCTAATATGTTTTTTACCTAAACTGATTAAATTGCTGAAAGCTGTAAATGCTATCAATTCTTATTTTTACTTTGAATGCCCGATATACGTTTGTAGTTTATTGTACTCGTAACGTAGGTATTTTTGCCAACTCATCATTACTATGTATCTGTCATAGCAACAAGCAAAACTGACAGTAACAATTCTATTTTAAAATATTCTCAATTTCTGTATAAACATATTTATTTATAAAACAGTCAGTTTTATATATAACAAGTTGATATAAAATTTACAAATGTAGGCCTTTATTCTTTAACATTATTTGAATAGTTTCGAATGACACTCGGATTTCTATAACCCGTAAGCTAAGTCTAGCCAATAAGTGGCAGGACGTGAAAATAAATAATGGGTTTCCTCTATTGCGCTGTAAGTAAAGATATAACCAATCGATAAATAATTATTAATATGAAACGATAAATAGGGTAGAAGTATATTTTGTTCTTAAAAAAATCTGAAATGAGTAGGTATGAACACGAACACGTGGGAATACGATGACGTGCAAGGTCGGTGGTAACAGTTAATGAAATTACATACATAACACTACATTCACTTGCATAACGCAATCTAGTGGATAATACCGCTTTACTTCCGACAGTCGCGAGTTCGATTCTCGCACGACATAAACATTTATATTTATGAGTATGATTTTTAAATTAACAATTCATTTATTTAGGTAACACAATTTTTACTAAGTTCTGTATAGTTGTTGAAGCCTTCTTTTAAGCATAATTAAGCCTGCGCCTGTATTGCTTAGGGTGTTTCCTATTTATATTAGGTATTTATTTATTTAACTATAATACATAATGCTGTGTGAATTGTACTGGATTATTATTATTATGTTATATAAAGATATTGAAATTCCCTAGTTCCAATGGTACGAAGGCATCGTACAGTAAAACGTCGGCTAGTGTGAACTTCAAGCCAGAGAGTGAAAAGAAACCAGCATCCATACTGCCGGCGCTGTGTCTGGCTTTTGGAGGCCAGTTCCTTTTCGGATCACTGCTGAAACTAGTCAACGACACCCTTACGTTCATATCACCACAGATACTAAAGTGAGTAACATTTTTTAAAACTATAACCTAACAATTCTAGATATCCCATCATCTCACTGGATACTGCTGACGAGACGCCTGTTAATGAAGCTTTACTTACATTTAGTCATTGATTTCCATAACTGAAGGAGTTGAATAGAGATAGAACCAGGGGAACAGAGATATAACTAGAAATTAGTACTTTAAGATATGCAGCTGCAGCTGTTTTTTTTATATGATAGTAATATCAAAAGTTGGTACCTGTTGGCCACCTGATGGTAAGTGGTAACTGTCACATATATACATATTCAGCACTGCGGACATCACATTATCAAGTGACATCAGTGATGCAATCTGGAGGACTAAGATATGTCTCTTATCCTGTAATTTCACTGCCTCATCTCACCCTACAATCGAAAACCAGTTTAAAAACATTGTTTAGCAACTAAAATGGGTAAAACTGAGTTTCCCACAGAATCGGTTGAAACGAAATTCAGCTGTGAAATAGTCCAGACATAACAGCAAAACTATACATTTGTAATATGTTTCATTTACGAATTATCGGCAACTTTATTAAAGCTCCGTATTTTTTGTAAGTATATATTTTATAAATCAATCTTGGTAGTACCTATTTTTATCTTAATTAGTCATTTTAAAATAATATACAAAAAATATATAGGTATCTACAAAATTATGACGTAAGCTTTTCAAACAAAAAACTGTTTATTTTAGCTTTATGTTTAGAAATAAATTTAGTACTAGTTTCGACAGTAAAACCAAATTCCTCTGAAACTTCTCCAACAGGTAAAAATATTTTTACCTGCGTATCTAAACTTGATATGGGTTTCGGTCTAATCCAGAGTAGTAGAATTCAAAACTGTACTACTCTATAATTTACAGGCTTCTAATAGGTTTTGTAGAAGGCAATGAACCGACATGGAGGGGTTATCTTTACGCAGTTACTCTACTGGCCTGCGCTACAGTACAAACTATGTTGTTGGCACACTATTTCACGAGAATGTACCTTGTTGGTATGCGGATAAGAACAGCCCTGACAAGTGCAATCTACAGAAAGTCCCTTAGAATGTCAAATGCAGCAAGGAAAGAGTCTACTGTTGGAGAGATTGTCAACTTAATGGCCGTAGATGCACAAAGGTATGATAACATTAGTTATAATAAAAAATATTTTTTATCCAATTAGATTTTTTTTCTCATTTTCCCACTAGATTCAAAACTATACAACGTTAACTCACTTCAATAGCAGCGCAGTCTCAGTTCCATTAATTTTTAATAATTAAATTAACAAAGAAAACATTTAATCCCGTTTTGAGTATAATATATGTTTTGTTATAATAATTATAATCATGTCTTATATATTAATAAAAATAAAACAAAACGATGCGTTAATGATCAACGCAGATTACACAACACGTCATTATCAGCAATAGGTACTTGAGCCGAAGATTTATTTTTCAATATTAGCTACAACTGCACGACCATTGTCATATATAAGACATACAAGCCCATTAATGTTAATTTTAAAAAGCTGCATCTCTTAAATTTACCCAATTCAAAGACCATGTCTGATTCTCATATGCAATGTAGAGTACATTGCATATATGAGAATCAGACATGGCAAAAACTATATTAAATTTTCTATCTTAATCATACTTCATATTTGCAATTGAATATAATTATCGAACCTAGGTGGTTAATACTTTTCATATCCGTAAACAATTGTCGCAAAAGACAAAAACATAGTAAGTACATTAAACTCCCGTATATTGTTATAATATACACCGTATTTACTCATAGAATGTAAATAAATCTAATTATGTCATCATTACTTTAGCTATATTTACATTATTTTATAATATTATGTAATAAGTTTTATATATTTTTGTTATCATTTTATTTACATTGCTCACTGTTGTGTTCCCAATTAATGAAACGTCAGTGTTCGAAAATTTTGTTTAAATTATCCATGTAAATCTGTTTGTGGCCGAACAAGAAATTTACGTTTTATCATCAACAGCTACAATTTAATGGTGTAGACAATACAGTAGTACAGATAAAAAGCCAATAATGAATCTTCTCTGACTGAATAAAGCAATGAAAAACATTTCACACACAATGCTCGTAAATTGAAAATAATGACATACTAACTATGGTAACGATGGCCTCGTATTAAATATATTTATTGTAATAGTATATTATATAAAAATATATTTATATATGTTTATAACAGAATGTCGGTGATTTTCGCAAATAGTGGACGATTACGATTTGACATTAGGGCCGTTAGTTTGATTGATGTTCCAGATCTGTAAGATAAACCAGGAAATAGTCACACCTGTAAACCAAACGACGTAAAATTTCCTTTGAACGTTAATAAAACAACAAACGTCCAAATATTTTTATTAACTTTCACGTATATTTAACAATAATAGTTTGAAGAATAGTAGTATGGCGTAATGAATGGTTTTTTGTTGATATAATTTAATAGATTTTTAATTGCAAATATTTCGCGTATCATTATAAGATCCTAAATCAGGCAATGTAGCGATTAATAGGCACATTAAATTGTATTTAAAATAAAATTTATATGCGTATGTGCTGTCCTGTATATAAACTTTATTTTGAATACAATTTCGTATCAGTAATTAGCTTTTGTAGCATCAATGAAAGTAGGTTAGTTTTCTATGTCTATGAATGTGTTAGTACTTACATCTTGACATTACAGTCAACCCTCCTATAACGCGGTACTCTCAGAACGCGGTTTCCATATAACGCGGAGCTGAAATTGCGACAGCCCTCCTATAACGCGGTACTCTTACAGCGCGGTTTCCGTTCAACAACGTCCCATCAGTTCTTTCCGTGCACCCAATGAATGATTTTAACTGGATATGTTTATATCAGCGTGGTTCACGGGTGGGTGGTTCTCCTCATGCGCTATCTTCCACTTCTATTAACTAAATAGTTTCGCATCGACAGCGTGCCATGCTTGTGTGTGTCTAACGAAACTGTAACATGAAAGATATATATGTGAACTACATTGTTACCTATAGAAAAACTACGTTCTGCTTATGTCTTAGCCGCTTAAAACCAATGTGAAGATCAACCAAGTGAGGAAGATATTTTGCCCATTAAAAGAAGGCGAGTTAGGCGACTCATATCTGACAGTGAGGATGAGTGTTGAAAGATTACATCATTTTACAAAAGTCTTTCTTTTGTTTTTGTTGGAAAACAGTTTTTTAGTTTAGTTTTTGTTTCATTTTTTTCATCATTTCCTTATTTTTATTGAATTGAAGAGTTCATACTCTTCAATTCAATAAAAATAATTTATAATTTATCTTGTCTTTTGTATTTATTGGTCTCCATATAACGCGGTACGAATGATGTGATTTGTACTTATTCCGAGTCTCTTATAGCGCGGTTTCCATACAACGCGGTAGACGGTTTCCATAGAACGCGCTACGAATTAGCCTGGTTTGTATGGTTACGAGTTTCTTATATACAACGGTACGCACTCACCGCGTTATAGGAGGGTTGACTGTATATTATTGCTATAAAGCATTAAAGTGAAGATTTTTACGAATTTTGATATATTTTCATGGAATATTATTTACTATAATTGTACTCAAAGAGTAACAATATAAATATAATAAACGGAATTGTATATACATATAAAAACCTTGGTCAAATCTACAAAGAACGCCTTTGTAGCTAATACAATCTTTCTACTTCTATTACATAGAGTTAATATTAACGTTAGTAAATAAGTACTATTTTATTTCCAGGTTCATAGAATTAACAGCGTACTTAAATATGATATGGTCTGCGCCACTCCAGATTGCTTTGGCTTTGTATTTCCTATGGGGTATATTAGGGCCGTCGGTGTTGGCCGGCCTGGCCGTAATGATCATCCTCATACCAGTGAATGGGTTAATTGCAAACAGAGTAAAAACATTACAAATTAGACAAATGAAATACAAGGACGAAAGGGTTAAATTAATGAACGAAGTGCTTAATGGAATTAAGGTATGTAGATTTTCGGTTATTCATTCATAATGTACGTGCTGCTACGCTAATGTAACGAAAATTTAATTATATCATGTGAATAATATTGCTAAAACCAAAGATAAAATATTAAAACTGGTATGTAATTGTTAATATCAATATTACCTATATTTATAACTTAAAATAGCAATAATTCCGGTACGGAGTACGTTAAGAGTTTGCTATACTAAAGTATATAGTAACTGTTCTACGAGCATGGTGATCTCCAGCATTAAAAAAATAAGTATGATTGATACTCGAATTACAATCATCTTTAAACTTTAGACAGAAATGCATAAAATTGACTGTAATGAGAATTAATGTGACAATCAGTGAACTCACTAAGTATACTAACTCGCAATTTGTTTTTATAAACTAATTAAGCCCGCGACGTGTATCCGGATAACTTATAAGCTAATAATACCAGCTAACCACACAATATATTAGTAAAAATAGCATCCAAACCGTTTAAACTGTTTCTATGATTAGTGCGCACAATTAATAATGGCAATCAATCAAATAAAAAAAATATGGCAGTTATTGTTTTGAGTTCTATTACGTTAAAAACATCATATAATAGGTTTTCTCATATATCATTCATGTACATTTTTATTATACATATGTCTATAGACATAACATAATGTTTTTTTTTTTAAATAAGTAATATTTAACTTACTACCTTTAGTTACGTGAAACTATTTATCACTTAAACGAGGTCAGATGTAACGAATATTCAAGGTAGTAAAGATAAGATTATATAAATTATTCAATATTTCGCTTAACGTACATAGATTTCTTCCTCTTATATTCCATTTAGGGTCATGAAGCACTACCGTGTTATCTGTTCACGATATCGCTTGTCGATATCAAGTTGATAAACTCGCTAATCAAATCAAGCGCAAGCGAAAATGAGGCCCGTTAAGTTAGCATTGACGACACAAGATATAAAAAAGAATCATCAATATATGCAATCTTGTTATATTACAACATCATATAATGAACTCTAACTATTTACAACTTTTAAACAATGTCTAACTTAAACACAGGTTAACAATAAGTTTATTTTCTTTTTCTTGTTTATTTTATATGTATATATATATATATATACCATTTTTGTTATTGTCACTGGGTTTTATTATTATTACTATTAATGATAATGTAATGGGGCTGTTTAGATGCGGCAGTCTTATTACATTACATTCGTCCTCGCATATGTCTCTGGGCAATACCTGAAAATCAGTGGTTGCTGCTCGAGCAAACAATACACTCAGGTACTTTCTGCGTTTGGGCGATGCACACAACTACGTTACTCACACATTTTTACCTATTATATTATATTATATATATTGTATTTCTTTAACTGACTACTGTAATTTTGTATTTATTTTTTTATATTACTGTGCCTGTGTGCCCCTTCAACGCAATTAAAAGTTGTAAATCTATCTAGCTTCTGGAATGGCAACGCATGTGCCCTATTGACTGGTCTGCCTTTCAAGTTACATAAAAATGCTGTAAATAAACAGTCAAAAACCCACCTTAGGATACTGAATTAAATAATCTATACATTTAATAAACATGTAACAGATCGCTGTTGTATTTTATCAGCATAATAAAAATCAAAACAATGATTGCTATAATTTTTGCGTAATTTTGAGCGCGTTAATCTTAGAAACGGCAAAACCAATTTGGGTTTAATTAATGTGATGTGGCAAGTTTCACTTTACATTTAATGTGTGTTTTATTCCAATCGCTTTACAAATAAACTCTTATCTAGTTAAGAATAAATGTATATCAACATTGAAGAAGTGCATACAACATACATAGCAAACGAACTTATAATATCCTCCTTTTTAAAGTAGGTTTAAGATGGTGAAATGTAATATGTAATTATAATATACCAAAGTTAACATACAACTTAATTAATCTAAAAGAAATACAAAAAAGTTCTGTGTCCTTAGTTAAATTATCTTGTGCGAAGACAAATAATCCTATATTGTTTTTCGTAACTGATTGCGTGTTTTAATATTTACAGGTACTTAAAATGTATGCATGGGAGCCAAGCTTCGAGGATCAAGTACTTAAAATAAGAAACAAGGAAATGAATGTACTTAAACAAACAGCTTATCTCAACTCTGCCACGTCATTTATATGGTCCTGTGCTCCGTTCTTGGTAAGTTAACACAATAATTCGTAAGTTACTTCGATAAAAAAACTAAAACTTGTTGTTATACGTATCTTTTTTAATGCATAATCCGTCATTTGAATTTTGTACGCAATAATTATTATATTAACGGATCATACTATGTATTACATATTATTTTATGCTACCAATATTATATCTTCTATTGCATACGATCGTTATAATGAGTATTTATTATCGATTGCCGATTTATATTTTATAATTCATCATAAATATATTGTAATTCCACAGATTTCTAAAGATAATACTAATCTATTAGTAAAACGTTGTTGATAATATGATTTAAGTAGCAACTTCAATTGACATATTAATATTGATTATATGGCTCCTATTGTCTGATAACTCTTATCAGACATTATAATGTATGTATATTTTAGTGTTAACAATGTTATTTAAATGTACCAAGTATATTCTAATACAGTTAAAATATAATGTGTATAAATATATGTCAGATAATTTTCGCTACGCAAAACACACGCGGAAAACTGTAAACTAAATATGATAATCCTGTTGCTAACTGTTAAACACTATCTTATGTACTACATAAACATACGAAACAAAATATTGACACAGAACCGCCGCAAAAAATCTGCTTCATTTACGCGACGATTACCTCTCTATGAGCTTATCTAGAACTATAATCATTTGTTATACACACATATTTTAAGAGTCATCCCTACCGCCCCCCTCCAGGAAATCGTCGTTACTCATTTTGGGTGAATTTGTCACTATGGGCTAACTGACCTGAGCTCATGCTGATCTTCTGATCCTACACTGGTGCCGTGCCAGCGTAAACCGTTGGCGCAGGCGGATGCAACATTCCATTATCATCCATTACAAAAAAAAATATTTTGCACTAGTAAATTAAGTATACACTGTTGATCAAAACAATTTACCTTGCATTCATACAGATGAAGTTGAAAATATTTATAAATGTTTCGTTAACAGTTCAAATGTCATGTTTTAATACTTACCTTACTAGATATATTAAATATAATATGAACTAAGACAACTTTTAGTTCTAAAAGTTAAATGTTCCGAAGTTACTTCTAATAACAAAATTGAAATGTTTTGTTTAAGGTAACGTTTGTAACATTCTACACTTATGTGATATCCGATGAAAACAATAAGATAACGGCCACAACTGCATTCGTATCAATGTCCTTGTTTTATACAATCCACTTGCCGTTAGGTTTGTTGCCTCTCACCGTGGTCTTTTTAATCGAGGTAGAACCCCCAATGTGTACATCTGCACTTCAGAGGCTATGGATCTTCTTGCACAAATATACAGATATACTAACACTATATTTTATTCATTATCTGACGTGTCATGTAATGATCTACTTGTTTACGTGATATCTGCAGTTACAGCGATTATTTAATTTCGACGTCAAACATAAATTTATTATGAACAAAGTTTTAACAAATACCTTGTGGTGTTTGTTAAATACTTTGTTCATAATACGCTTATGGCCTATTTATTAAACTCGATCTAAAATTTCTGAAGTAAACAAAAAAGAATTGAGAGATTTTAAAAGGAATAAACATATAAGTTTGAATATAATTCACATATGTATGAAATGTATATATAAAAATGTAAATACAGCAACCGAAAAAAAATTGGTAAAGAACAATCTTCAATTTATTATTTTATTTTATTTCACCTCCATTTCACAACATTGTCAAATAAATAAGAAAGAAATTAAATAATTGAGTCAATGTTTGTCATCTGCGCGAAGTTTCCATGTTATCATAGAGGTAATAATTTATACATACGTATTACATTTCACTTCGTGTATGTAAAATACATATTATTATACGTATTGTATTATTATATGTAATACGTAAATAAAATACTTCACTACTGTAACATATTATTATGATTTGCACATAGTACGGTTGTAACTGGAGAGATAGCGTAAACAGAATATCGAGCACGTGCATATTAATTAATTAGTGGTATGGTCCCAGGTATCGCTGATGTCATTCGGATGTTTTGTATTGGTCAACGACACTGAAGTGCTCGACTCAAAGAGGGCTTTCGTAGCACTGTCACTTTTCAATATACTACGTTTCCCACTATCCATGCTACCTAATGTAATATCAAATGTTGTACAAGTAAGTTTCTTTTCAAAATTTTGACTTTTTTATGTTGGTTGTTAACTGACTTTTTTTGGTTCAATAAATTTTGTGGAACACATCGCATTGTTCATAAAACTCATACACTCAGTACATATTTTTATTAGCTACTAGATGTTTACGTCCACTTGTCCATTTATCATGATACAATGCGATTCATGCCAAATTTCATTAAAATCCGTTCAGCCATTTTTGTCCTGAAAAACTAATGGATACTTTCAAATTTATAATATTAGTATGGATAAAAAAAATCAGTTAAAAATATAATTGTTTGTCTTTTTATGAATCGAACCCTAATGTTCTGTTATTGCTTTACGTAATTACTTTATGTATTAACAAATTCCCATTTGTGTAGACTCATTTTGGATCACAGTTTCTTTCAAGACTTAATATGGCATTATTTTGTGTTTACAAAACTTTTGTGACCAAATAATATGTTATAAAATGCGATTTTAATGTTTCTAACATTATAAGCCATATTGAGTTGTTACTGATACGGTACTAACACATAAATTTATATATCATCTTATTTCGGGCTTCTTTAATTTTTGGTAATGGATATCCGATTTGTACTGTGCAAAAATTTAATACTGTATCAATACTTTCAGACTTCAGTTGGTATCAAAAGATTGAACAAATTCATGAACTCGGATGAATTAGATGATAGTGATGTAGAACACGATCCTAAAGAACGTAAGTAACTAATTTATCTAAAACTAGTTGTTACTCGGGATATCATCTGCTTTTATTTCAGATAAAAGTTAGCCTATGTTGCAATCTGTCTTTATTTCATTAAGAACCGTTGTACCGTTTAGTCATAAATGTATAACAAATAGTTTTCGTTTAAGTTTTTAATTTTTTTTTACATACTTTTCATTTATAATAATACTATGGATGTACATATAGATGGCAGGGCTGTGTCGTAGAATTCATATTTTCGCCATTCATAACGCCTTGATTTAGGGACGACATAGATTAAGTAATTTTATTTTTATCTAGCTACTCGCCCTGGCTTTGCTCGAGTGTACATGTATTGTACATATAAACCTTCCTCTTGAGTCACTCTATGTAATAAAAACTGCTTCAAAATCCGTTGCGTAGATTTAAAGATTTAAGGATACATAGGGACGAACAGACAGCGACAGCGACCTCGTTTTGTACTATGTATTATAATTATCGTAATTAAGCCGACACCTCGTCTGTTTAGAAAATCACAATGTTCGTCCGCAGATATGATCAACATCACTGCTATCATTGGACTCATCGTTCCTAAGAATAATGCTGTTTATGCCACGAATGAAATGTCAAATTTACTTATATAGATATATACATACAATTCTGTCTGTTTTTATACGCACAAGGTCATCTATGATGGGGTGAATACTGTTTATCTCTTTATGACAACCTTAACTCCACTCGCCTAGTTTCTTAAGCGCTAACCAACAAATTTACTACCAAATTTTTTATCAATAAAAATAACTGATATCTGTCTATTTTTTTACATCGTAGCGAATCCATTGCTGATAGAAAATGGTCACTTTTCATGGGGCGCGAAGGACTCAGACCCTGTACTTAAAAATATCAACTTGCACATACCGCGAGGCTCCCTGGTGGCTATTGTGGGTGCTGTTGGCTCTGGCAAAAGTTCGCTACTCTCAGCCATGCTCGGGGAAATGAATAAAGTTTCCGGAAGGGTCAATACACATGGTGAGTTCTCTTTATTATCAACTTCATTTTGTATTGAGAAGAATATATATTAAAAAATCTTTTCATATTCTCGAATGAACAAATGGATGATATTAACGGATTTAGGTAATGTTTAGTAGGTACTTAGTAAAAACATGGCATACTTTATAAAAAATGAAGATTCAATTGTTTTCTGACTTCAAATGATTTCTGACAACTTCGCGACCATTGAGTCCATTTAGGAATGACGTCTTACGTATTAATTACGCGTATTTTTTTAAATGCTGATTGTATTTTTATATCATTCACCGTATTTTAACATCACATCATCACAAAAGTCACGATAAAGTATTGTCTTTTAAAGATATTTACTTTGCGATCCTTTTTAAATATCCTTACGAATCGAATTATGTTTTAACGTATAATATAGTACTGGAATACCTGGAGAGAGCCTGAGACGTCTGTAGTACAGGTTTCGACCTAGTTTAGACGCCAGACTCACAAGGAATAACCTTTACTGTCTTATTACAAAAAGATAAACCTTGTTTAGCAGTAGTAATGAACCATTGACCAAAGTATTCCTTATTACAAAAAGTAGTTTGTCTCTAAACCGTAATTCGTCTATGGTCTAAAGTTAGACCTGCGATGCCCCTACTTTAACAGTGGTCTAATCGCAAAAAATTGAACTCCATTTTAAAAATTGTATTGTAAGTTGTTGTTTTTTGAAAAATATCTTAACTAAAAATATTTAAAGCTAATTTTACGATAATAAAAATATATAAAAGACGTTTTTTGTTATTTTTTCATTCGTTTGACTTTGAAATAGTCACCATTCGAATCGATCCAATAAAAATGTCTCGCCGTTCCTTTTCTCCGTGTAGGACTCCTACTTGTAATTTAAAATCGTTTTTCAGCCTAATAGTACATTAATAAATGTTATATATTAATGAAATAGTTATATGAAGACATACACAGACACATAAATACAAATAAAATTATTTTTAGTTTATACATTTTTCTTTGAAGTAATATTATTTTTGATCATTTCAGTTTTCTGATAAAACGGAACGCAATTGTACGCTAACATACATGAGTGACTGATTTCTATGTGAAATACGAAATGAACGATTTAACTGTAGTACTAAGTAGTCCTATGTTAGATCTGGATTCGTAATAATTTTAGGCTTATTCCAAGTATTAACTTTAGGGATGGTTTAAAGCACGACTATTTAGACCACGTTTAGTCTGAGTTTTAACAGATTTTTTGTAATAAGACCGTTAAAGTTTAAACATAATTGATGTATACGTAAGTTTCCATATGTAGGGCAATAAAGATTATTACTCAATATATATATATACGGAACCTTAAGTATACATCAATTATGTTTAAACTTTAACGGTGTTATTATGTTTCATATGTATACGCTTCTTGTATTAAAGTTTAATATATTACCCAGGTAGTATAGCGTACGTACCACAGCAGGCGTGGATACAAAATGCGACGCTACAAGACAACATCCTGTTCGGCAAGCCGCTCGACAAATATAAATACAATAACGTAATATCGGTTTGTGCGCTCAAAACTGACTTCGACATGTTGCCCGGCGGTGACCAAACCGAGATCGGAGAAAAAGGTAGGTATGCGAATTGGCAATGACAAATTATTTTTGTAATATGTATTTTGTAATTATTAAAACATTATATTAATACGTGTAGCAAAAACTTTGTACCACTTTGTGCGGACGACGGCGTATGTAATTTCGCAAACTTATAGTTTATATGATGAAGGTGTGTAGAATCCTAATATACACATATATTTTTTAATTATGTATAAAAATACTTTAGATCTATAGAAAACATTAAACACACTACCATATATTTGACACAGATGCATAGAAGTATAGTCTTTGTGTATAGAACCTAAATAATGCTGAAACTTATAATTTAAATTAATTAGGGTCGACCATTGTACTTTTTTCGACTAGTTTTGAAGAACCGCGTATTTTTATACTGCAATTGTGGCAGGTAACTTATCCGTCGCTAAATTTTCGACATGAATGAACTAAAAGTAATTTCAAGAAAGCTATATTTATATGCAGGTATCAATCTCTCTGGGGGACAAAAGCAACGCGTGTCTCTCGCGCGGGCGGTGTACTATGACGCCGATAACTATTTCTTAGACGACCCACTCAGCGCTGTCGACTCACACGTCGGCAAACACATATTCGATAAGGTAATAGACATAAACAAAGTTTTTTTTTTACTTTTATTTATTTACATATTCTGTAGGATCTATATATTTTTTAAATAAAATACTGTTCACGTTACTCGTTGATAATACATATAGCTTTTTATGGGTAAAACGAATTTTCATTTCCATCTAATAATGTATGTACTAAAATAAAAATATTTGCTCTATTAATATATGTTTAGATCTATATTGGTAAACATTTTTTTATTATGTGTTTTTTTATTAAGTGTGTTTACGTGAGAATGTAACTTTTCGTTGTGGATTTTCTTGAGAATTACATTGCATACTTTTGTTAAAAAGAAAATCGCAACAACTTGTACCTACTCTGAATAAACTCCTCAGACACGGACAATTTTATATGAAGTCTGCTAACTTTAAGACTCGTAACACCATGAATATTTGCAGGTTATAGGACCAAATGGGCTACTCAAGAACAAGGCCCGCGTGTGGGTGACGCACAACGTGTCGTATCTATCTCAAACCGACCTCGTGATCGTACTTCGCGACGGCCAAGTCTCTGAGGCGGGCACCTACCAACAGCTGCTCGAGAAGAAGGGCGCCTTCGCTGAATTCCTATTGCATCACTTGAGTGACGCAGAGAGAACATCGCCTGAAGGTGATCGATAATAGAAATACAAATATTTTTATTCAAATAAACTTAATATAAGCACTTTTTAATAGTTTATAACAATTAATTTATATTGATTTGTGACCAAATTCAATCTAAGGAAAATTATAGGGCAACTGAAAGTGAAGGACTCAATGGCAAGCCTTAGATGAGGCCCATGTCCAGAAATATTTTAAATATATGTTATTTCATACACAAAGAAATATCGATATGACAACTAATTCAGTTGATTTGGATTAAAAGCGCTACAGCCCAATAAATTTCTACTTTACACCCACCCCTCGCAGCCGAATGTATCAGAAAATGTGCTGATTTTCATAATGTAATGCCAAATCTTGAATGAAATTCTTTTTTTCAGAATTGAATGAAATAAAACAAGATCTCGAAACCAAACTGGGATCAGAATTCCACAACAAATTGCAACGTGCTCGGTCGTTATCGGAGAGCAATTCTGAGTCGGATCAAACAGCCGCAGGTGTGTTCACTATACTTTTTTTATCTACATTATTAATATAAGGAAACAAGGAATAACATAATTTTTTCTGTCAGTTTACTGATTTATTGATACTTTTTTCTTTTTTTTAGAAATTGTGTTCTGACTAATCCATTTGCCAAAAACCGATCTATATTTATTAATTATTTTTATGTATTTTTTTTATTGAGTATACTTTTTCTTAGGCAATAAAAATGTCGCTTCCAGGCTATTAAATCATATATATATTTATCTATTGAGTTTATTAGTCATAATCTACGATGCGCTTTTATATATTATACAGTCATAGATATGTAAGACTGTAACTTACAGTCCATACATCTCAAACGGAACGTAACGACAGAGAAATATGAGCGATATCTGATATTTCCACCGCTGGATTTCTAGACTTGGTACCCGATATTTAATATAAGATATTTGTATTTATATTGTTATTTCCCCCACAGGCGATCGCGCTGGCAGCGTTAAGAGACGCACGCCAGATGAAGTCACACAGAATGAGTTAAAAGAAAAGAACAAACTCATAGAAACTGAGAAAACGGAAACTGGCAGTGTAATTATTACTTGTTACAACTTATTACTTACGACGTAACGAAAATTGATTAAAATTTTCGTTACATCGTAACCTTTTATATATTTATCTTTCTAATAGTACTATAAATTGATATTATTTATTTAAAAGTTCGAACAATAATTTTCCATGAACATTTGATACGTGTTGTATAATAATAATAATATTTTTATTGACACCTCTTTTTACATAGTTCTTACCGTTATTCTCATAAACTATTACATACTTACGCTATAAGAGAGGCTGATTGCGGAAAATAAAGTCCAATTTACATTACATTACGCTATATGTCAGGATCAGAGTAACAATGACAAAAACATATTACATACATATAAAGACAAGACCTGCCAACTGTCAGAGTAAAACATTTTTGTATGTCTCGAATTTATGAGAGACATACTGTTTTATATACGCAAAACTTATTTTTATACATAATTATTAATAATCGTATCTGTTTTTTTTTCAGGTGAAATGGGGTGTATACAAACATTACTTAATGAGTGTAGGCGTTTTGGCGTCCGTCGTAACAGTGTTAATGAATCTCGTCTTGCAAGTGTTCCAGGTTGGCTCTAACTACTGGCTCGCGCAGTGGTCCAACGACAAGAATATGGTAAGTATTTTACAGGACCTATATATAATACTACCCACTATTACTTCTGCCCAAACTTTTACCCCCTTATAGGTTATTTTTTAAGATACATGATAGCCTATATTCATATTAATAATACCATTTACCTTCATATCTTCATATGAAAATAGGTAACAAATAGAGAGACAGACAAACATTCTCTAATTTATAATATTAGTATAGATTGGTACTTCTGAGACAGAAGTTTCTATAAAATATGAGCTTGATGGTTTATGTATGACAAGCATGTGTGTAATGATAAAAAAATGTAATATTATGATAATACAAGTTTTGCATAGATTGGAACTATATGGGGTTGCGTGCATTGTCTAGGGTTATTATTATTATTATATTAGCAGGACGATGTTAGAGTAAGTTACCGGTTACTCTGGTATTCTCTTTCTTCTCTTTCAGTATATGTTAGTCCACTTGGACGTATGCCTCTTGTATAATTTTCCTCTATATTACTATATTTTCCTGTCCCGTATCTTGTCCAGGTTCCTGGTATTATATTACTTTAATTGTATCATGTCCTAAATAATATTCTTATGTTATTTATGTTTAGATTGTCAACGGTACCGTAGATAAGGCCAAGCGAGATATGTATCTGGGCGTATACGGCGGTCTTGGCATCGGGCAAGGTAAGTTGTGTACAATTAATATTAATGAACAAAATTACTTCACAAACCTTTTTTCTTGACAGTGAATGGACATTATTAACAGCTATTATATACATAATTATATGAAAGTTAATCATCACTTTTCATGCTATGCCTATTACCTAAAGTGATTTAAATTGAAAAAGATATGTCAATACAAGAAACGAACAGCGGCAATACTACATTCAAGTCATAATAAATATATACAGATTTTCACACACATATTTGCGTTCAAAAACATACTTATTTTGACAAACGATAAACAAAATCTGAGTAAAATTATTTTTAACATAAATATGGTCTAGTTAGGTATTTGCAATTAATAGGAAACTAATATTCAATTACAGTGTTTATGTTTTCTCTTTCACCATTTCATTAAAAAAAATTCTAAGAATTTATTAAGAAATCAATTCAATTTCACTAATAAAAGCTTGGCATAATAAATAAATCCTAATTTACAATTGTAAATTTAAAAAAATATATATAACAATGATAATATTTATGCATATATCATATCACCTTGATTTTTTTGTTGCATTGAGATACTGTATAAACATATTAATTATATTTGCATATATAACTTTGTAACCTCTTATAAAACATTGGAATGATTCTGTAAAAGTTTCCTTACAATCGCCAAATACCAAAAAAAATATCTGATTTTTGTTCATATATAATTATGATCAATGTATTCATATATATGGAAGTTTTACAATAATATTAAGTTATATAATTACTGTAACGTATATAATATACGTATTATTAATCGAATAATAGAAAGAGATCTGTGTAAATTTCGGTGATATAGCACTTCAACAAACTACCTCACTTCGCGATTGTCGCAGGTTCGATTCCTGCATAATACATATTCATTAATTATTGTTTCAATTTGTTTTAGTCTGGGTAGTAGGTTTTTGCTAGTATTTATCAGTATATTAAAACTAGAATATATCTATAGAAAAAGCATAAAAAAATTCTACGTATTACTGTCTTTATGCCTTAGAAATTGGCAGTGTAGGTACACTTATATTAGTAATTTTAGATCTTATCATGTATTTTATATATTGATCTACCAATTTAATGTTGATATTCCTAGTACGACAATATATATATATTATAGGTGTTTTATTTAGTTTTTTTCAATATGGCCAAAATCTATAAAATTGCTAGCAATAATGAATACATTGTTTATATTTGTCAATATTAATTTCCAAATTATAACTTTCTTTACTCTAAACGCCTGTATTTTTTCTTTTCATTCGTTATTTTTAAGATCATAATTTTACCATTGCATGTTTTTAATATCATAAACAAAACATATGACACATTTTGCATGTATGCATAACTTTAGGTAAAGTTAAAATGTAATGATATTTTCTATAGTAATTTATTCTTTTTTGAAAATTATAAAACCTGTTATAAATATGCAACGTGTTTCATAATTTATTTTATTAATACTACATATTGCATGACGTTTGTTCCTCTTTTTGAATATACATATGTAAAAGAAATACACATTAACTTATAATTATTTTATTACTTATCTGGTCTTTGTATTTCGTTCAATTTTATAGTAATAATAATAAATTTCAAATAGTATACTGTTACGTAGTTATATCGACAATGACATTTTAAAGATGTGTGTACTATACATATATAAAACATATTTAAACTCTATACAGCAATCATATCTATTTTTAAACAAATTATGAAATATGTATATGTGTATAACATATTTCTTGTACATCATAACAAGTGTTTCCAAAATTATATATGTTTTCAGTGTATATGCGAGATAGGTTTTTAGAGATACTTAGTCGCTTGACGAGGGCGATCATATAACCCTGGCGCCAGATATAGCTTCAAAAGTTGAAACACATATTGGAAAATGTAACATTTTCATCCAAACAATAGAAAACATGACACATATACTTGGCAAACATGTACGTTCACAGCGCTTACTGTCTGTACTGGACTTGCACGTTCTAATAACGCCCAAAAACGGACCAATACGACAAAGTTCATTCTTTTCTAACTTTAAATCAAATACTTCAACACATGGCGACTTTATAGGCGTATATTTGAAGCTATGTCCGCCGCCGGCTTAAGGCACATAGTACCGCTGCGATTGGTGCGGAGCGTGTATGGTGCGCGCACGTGAGTGTGTGGTGGCGTGTGCGTGTGCATGGTCGAGTGCGTGAAGGTGATGTGTGGCGCAGTGGTGTCGGTGTCGGTCTCGTCGCTGGCGCTGTACGTGGGCGCGCTGCAGGCTGCGCGCGTGCTGCACGACGGGCTGCTGAGCGGCGTACTGCGCGCGCCCGCCATCGGCTTCTTCGACTGCACGCCTGTCGGCCGCGTGCTCAACCGCTTCAGCAAGGACGTCGACGTGCTCGACAATGTGCTGCCCATGACGCTCAGGGGCTGGACCACCTGCTTCTTTGCGGTACGCAGCGCTTATGCCGCAGAGTGCGACCAGTAGATCGACTTCAGACCTACTATAACTTTACATACAATTACGCATAATCTTTCAATTGATAATCTGTCTATTCCAACGCTAGTATTAAAGGTTCGGTAAGAAACGGTATAATTCCAAATTAGGAAGACATTATTTCAAACGTAAAAATACGTAATACGTTTGAAGTTAACCTACTGGTTTTTCCTATAATTTTACGTCTATTAATGCACTACTCACATAAGGGTGTATACTAAACTGAACGTAAAAAATAATCGCGTGTATAATGAAAGTACCAGTATAAATATAATTTCTAATTTAACTGATTTGGGATCAGTTTATAAATTGTACTAAATTATTCAGCGCGTATAGTTTATTAGGTTGATTTAATAGGCTTCATAACTCGTGCTTAGGAAGTATACTAAAATCTACTTATGCATGTTTACGATCTAACCTAGCCACCAGTAGATTGCGATCAACCCCTGGCACCACTAGTCCACTGCGCACCTCAGTAGTATTCCGTTTGCTATTAGAAACCGCTTGAACTGCATCGATTACCAATCAACCGTTGACCTATAAAAAACATAAATAATGTATTCATTATTAAAAATCACTCCAAAGGCTTCATAATGCTAACAAGTTGATAAAGTGTTCGTGGACGTTGTTGCAGCGATATCGTCGATTTTTGCGGATTTAATGCCATATTTGGCGTGTTGGCGGGCGTCGCGGTACATCCACGCTCTCTTGTTGGACAATGTATTAAAGGCACCGTTGCAATTCTTCGAAGTGACGCCGGTTGGCAGGATACTATCTAGATTTTCTAAAGACATCGACGTTGTGGACACGTCTCTGCCCTGGCAGTGCTCAGACGTGATATTTTGCACGTTCGAGGTAATCCGCCCGAAATAAACATTTTCATTTCAAAGTTTACAATGTTTATTTTATTGGGTATTGTTTTGTTAGTTTTGTTTCTTCTGTTTGTTTTCTATTCCAATTTGGGCTATAACTACATTTTGGGAAACTTCACTTCATTTAACTGCTTATATTTTTTTACATGTGTTCGTCAAGCTACATTATTAGTTATAGTGTATTTGCAATTGTATTATATAATGTTTTATTGAAATAAAATCGCTATCCATTATTAGTTACATCGCGTTAAATTTAACTCATCAGGTCACCACTAACATTTGTAAACTGATCCCATATACCTACAGTTAATCAGTTGTATACAGGAACATAATATATATTTTATATTTTTTTATGGTTATTATTACACCAAAGTGTATAAATAAATTAACATAGTATAACTGCAACTAAATTAAAAAAGAGTAACGTCAATAAAAGTTAGTCATTTTGCCGCATTTTATATATAAATAAATTTCAATATTAAAAAAATATATTATACAAGACTTATTCGATAAAAGTATACTAATAAAATATGCACGTTAAATACGCACAGTCTTTTACTAACATACATATTAAATTATTATTACATTTACTCATTTGGAGTACAATCATGTGCGTATAATACAGGTGCTGGGAACATTGTTCGTGATAAGCTACTCTACACCGATCTTCTTGGCAATGATAGTGCCGATTGGCGTGGTATACTACATAATTCAGAGATTCTACGTAGCCACATCGAGGCAGTTGAAGCGACTTGAGTCCGTGTCGCGCTCTCCAATATACTCACACTTTGGAGAGAGTATAACTGGCGCCAGCACTATTCGCGCTTATAGTGTTACACAGAGGTAAGATATTCAAGAACGATATATTAAGGCGTCTATAGGTTACGGTAATCATTTATCAGATGAACCGTATGTTTGTTTGCCACCATGGCAGTATAAATGAAAATATATTAATTATACTAACGATAAGATTATACACGATATTAATAGAATGTTATACAAGGCTTATTAGAAACGCCAGCACTCAACGCAGAGTCGTAATGCGGACTGACTTTACACTTAACTTAAATGTGTGTTATCTAGAGAGGTACTAATTGAAGGGTGTCGAGTGTTGACAGAAATATTACAAGTGTAGGCACAAGATCATTACGTTGCACTAGTCGTAGTCACGGGCTGACTTGTAACAACGACTAGTGTTAAAAAGCGTTTAACTATATTAATAATACTACTTATTTACCAGATTTATAAACGAGTCGGAACGCGGTGTAGATCACAACCAGTCGTGCTACTACCCGAGCTGCATCGCGAACAGGTGGCTAGCGGTGCGTCTCGAAATGATCGGCAATCTGATCATATTCTTCGCTGCATTGCTCGCAGTTCTCTATCAAGAGTCCATCAAACCTGGCCTCGTCGGTCTCTCTATCAGCTATGCCCTCCAGGTAACTAACTGTTAATGAATTATACATTCTTATGTAACTTCCTCATAATGGCTAGCTCATCTGTCGTACTCATGAATGGATGTTGCTAGAGGTTAATGGCTCGTAGATATCATTATCTATACATCTATTTAGTGTCTGTTTGTAATATAACTGTTTTTACTACATGCATATGAATATATATGCGGTACATACACCAATTTTTTTTTTTAATTTTCGTCTGTGTGTCTGTCTGTCTATTTGTTCCAGCTAATCTCTGAACTGCCTGGACAGATTTTGACGGGACTTTTTTTAGCAGGTAGCTGATGTAATAAGGAGTAACTTAGGCTACTGTTATTTTAGAAAAATAAAGTTAAATACCACGCGGACGAAGTTGCGGGTACAGCTAGTAAGAAATAAGAATCTCGTGGTATAAAAAATTATGATTTAAATTGGCTTAGATATATGTCTATGTATAACAAATAAAGATGAATTCTCTTCTACTCGTAACGAACTATACTAAATAATTGTTTTTTCTAAAAATAAATAGATAAATCATAACGTTATGTACGTTTATATTTCCAATATGAGTATAATTAATTATAATACTTTCGGAATAGAAGTCAGTAGTGTACCCACGTAATTGTAATATATGGTATATACCTCTGTAATAAAAAGTAGTTTAAGAATGATTTTATCAATAATTTATAAATTTTGTGTCAAAACCAATTTTTTTGTTATTATAACTGAACGATACATCATTGTTTAAATTTTAGATAACTCAAACACTGAACTGGCTTGTACGAATGACTTCAGAAGTAGAAACGAACATTGTAGCTGTTGAAAGAATAAAGGAGTATGCCGAAACACAACAGGTACGATGACATGTCATGTATCTTGATGTAGCATTTCATATCAATAAAAACATTATTCATATGATATGTGTATTATAAGGCGAGTATTTGTTTTGGTAACAAAAATTATAATGATATGAAAAGGTGTTTAGATATTTTACAAGCAATAGAATAGACCATAAAATATTTATTGGCTACAAAACAAAACAATGCATCATCCATATTGGTCGGGGCTGAAATGGATTGCCTCCGTTTATAACCTGGAACTCGACCAGTTGGGGGTAAAAAGATAGCTCAGTTTTGGAAAGATGGGGTTAAGTAGAGATGCGTACAATGGCTAGCATGCATAGGAAAAAGGGTAAAAAGAAAGAAAAACTCATAGTTGATGGCTGGAGCGATCTTTTGAAGGCTTGATTTCACTAGAATCGATGCAGAAGCTTGACTACACTTTTCATTGCCTTAGGGCTAGCCCAGCACAAACGGTTATTAGCAATTTAATTTAGATTATCAGTTAAATTGAAACACTGCCGCCATTATCGCATCTCGACACAAAGAAGTATTTTCGTAATGAAAGCGCCTGTGACGTTTCGCGCCACTGTGAGTCGTGGTGATAAACAGTTTCTTGTATCGGCGCATAGATCGCACCGCTAGTTAGGATACTTGGGAATAAGGAACGCAAGCCAGCACACATGATTTTACTTAGTATCATGGATTAATATAGGTACTGCCTGAGCTAATAGTACATGCTAGCTGGGCACTTGTTAAGGATGAAGTCAGGTCATGATGATTGTGACGAAATCACCATTATCGACGATAAGTAATGAATTCGTCACGAACTGAACGCTATATTACTGTAAAGTTTCATCAAAATCCGTTCAGTAGTTTTAAGGTGAAAGACTAACAAACATCCATCCATCCGTACTCACAAACTTTCCCGTTTATAGCGTTTCCAGGGGAACTGCGTGGTTTAACTGCTAACAATTTCTATTACTAACAATTCTTCCTTTCAATCTTAGTTTGTAATGGATGATTATGAAATGGTGCACCCGCCTGCGCTAACGGTTTACACTGGCGGGGCACCAGTGGAGGATTATGAGGTGAACATGAGGTCACTTTAGTTAGCCCCCCGTGACTAATTCATCAGGAATTTATAATAATGGTTCCTAAGGGGAACCGCGTGGACGTCAACCTGACAATGGGGCCAACAGTCCACAGTACTAATTCTTCCCTCTCTCCGTTTTATTGATATTAGCATAAATCTGCAATACAGCTTCAAAGCAAACTGCTCGTCTACATAGATCAATGAGTCAGGTCGAGAAAGCTGCTTAGGTTAAACGACGTCGGTATTGTTTGTCAGGAGGCGCCGTGGACGATATCTGGCACGGGCCCCGGGTCCACGTGGCCGGAGACGGGGGCGCTGCAGCTGGAGCGGCTGTCGCTGGGGTACCGCGCCGAGGAGCCCGCGCTGCGAGACCTCACGTGCGTGGTGCCGCCGCGGGACAAGCTCGCCATCGTCGGCCGCACCGGCGCCGGCAAGTCCACGCTCACGCTGGGACTGTTCCGGTACTGTAAACGTTGATCTATTTTTATATTCTGATGTATAAGCTATTACTGTAAAGGTGATATAGCTTATACATCAGAATATAGTACAAAATAATATAATATTAGTAAGATTGGTCCATATCTCACTTCTTACTATCTTAGTAGTATTATACGATAGTTTGTGAATTATCATCGGCCTTTATATTTTGCATATACTCAGAATACTCAAATAGTATTGGAGTTGCCGCAAGTAGGTCAAACTGCACACACACATCAAAAATTGGTACACTTTTATAAGTGAGTGTCTTTTGATCGAAACCAGAACATCAAAAAGCAAATGTTTTTTTAAAACGTGCTTTTAGGTTGTCTGTGCTACAAATCGCATGATTTGTAGGGTTATTATTTGATTAAGCTTGACTCCGGCTTTATACTACTTATTTAAGTAATTAAATTCTAGTCTAGAAAAATACACCCGCCTACTCTAACGGTATACGCACGGTATACGCTAGCGGGGTACCAGTAGACAATGAAGGCCAGCCTAGCAATATGACTACCATTCTTTATTACTAAAAATCACCTCCTTCCTACGGAGTGATAAACTTCGAATTTAAAACATTTAGCTATGTTACTATTTGTATACGTACTTTAATACTAACACTGTAATGTTTGTCTTAACAGAATAGTAGAGGCAATGAGCGGAAAAATATTGATAGACGGCATCGACATATCGACGATAGGGCTGCACCAGTTGCGCTCGCGAATCACCATCATCCCCCAGGACCCGGTGCTGTTCTCCGGCACCCTACGAATGAACCTCGATCCCTTCGATGTATACACCGACGAGCAGTTATGGCAGTCGTTAGAACATGCACATCTTAAGAATTTCGTAAAAGGTTAGTAAAATAATAAAAATACTTGACCGTTCTTCTCAACTGAATCTATTTACTGAACTGGATGGAGGAAAAATTAAAGAACATGGTACTGAGACACATTAACATTTTTGTCCAACATCGTATTAGGCGATAATAACACACACAAAGAGGAACTCCAGGGAATTTCACGAAGCAAAGACTCAAAGGATGTCGACTAGTCTGGCAACACAAGGGGTTCGTGTCTATGCAATCGATAGACGTAAAAGTGTGCCCGTCAGTCTGTTTGTTAATTTTTTACGACAGTACTGTTGAACGGGTCTGGTTTGCATTGACATTTTATCTTATTCGTATAAACAATCTATGGAATGAAATTTCGGTCATGATCACAGTTTATCCGTTCTCATGGCAGTTGTAACACTACCGAAATATCGGAAACTCCATAAAAATAAATAAAACGTAGCAAGATCCCGTTATTATTCCTAATTGTACGTATATAATGTACATGATTGCATAATGTATATTATTTCATAAGGTATTTATTATATTTTTGTATTATATAATATGGGCGTAGTAGCCTGAAATAAATCAATATTTGCGCAGGTCTGGCGTCGGGTCTGCTGCACGAAATCTCGGAGGGCGGCGAAAACCTGTCGGTGGGTCAGCGACAGCTGGTGTGCCTGGCGCGCGCGCTGCTCCGCAAGACGCCGCTGCTGGTGCTCGACGAGGCCACCGCAGCCGTCGACCTCGAGACCGACGAACTCATACAGGTACCTACGGCCAACTCAACTTAAACACCTCTCTGCGACAACATGGACCTGGCACAATAAAAATAAAAAAATAAATGTTAAGAAGTTCGTCTCTCTCTTGTATGTGTAGTAGTGTTATACAGATAGTGACTGAAACGGAATAGACCAGTTTGTACTAGCCAAAATGTGCACCGTACTACCGTATCAGTAGCTGAGTAACACCATACTATTTTATTTAGTATTATTTTCCTGGTAACAAGTTCATAATTTTTATTGCTTTGTCAAGTTATGATTAAAATTACATTCAATTTGTGCAATAATTAGTGTATACCTATAAAAATAACAAAAATATACACACACATATAAAGTTTGTGTATTTATTTATGTACTGGCCGTACACAACTTCAAACGGAAATACGTCTTTAATATTATTCATTTGTACTATATACGCACATAACTCTATTACTCGTTTCTTGGGAATACTGAATTATACAGTGTCATCGAGTCCAAAACTAAGCAGATCATGTTACATTAAGAGTGCAAAGATCACATTCCGACAACGGAAACATATGCTAATTGTTTACGACTTTTACTAACACCTAACACCTTTTTTTTTCTTATACTTTTGAAATATAATTCGAGAACAAGTGTAAGTTTATATGTCATTTTTAAAATGACAGATTTAGATAACCGATATATTATAACCATATTAAAGTATTAACTAAAAATCGGCCTTTGGAGTATATTTTCTATTTTAGTTTTAGTCATCCACACGCTTGTAAAAAATATTATGTATACCTATATTATACTGTAAAATAAAAACTAATTCATACTATTATCTTGTCAGAAAACGATTCGGTCTGAGTTCGCCTCATGCACGGTGTTAACGATCGCTCACCGCCTCAACACCATAATGGATTCGACTCGAGTGATGGTGTTGGACAAAGGTCAACTCGTGGAGTACGCGCCTCCCGATCAACTGCTGCAGGATAAGAACTCTATTTTCTATAGCATGGCCAAGGAGGCTGGACTTGTCAATTAATGTTCAAATTAGACTATACTTCACGGCCATAAATTTGACTGAAAAGTTAATAGGGAATATGTAAAAAGTTATAAAGTAGTATCATAGAAATTATTTTTTATCTGTTATGAGTCACTCCGTACACATCGCTTGCGTTTTTTATGCGTTTTTTTTTCGTCTCTGTACGCAATGTCGGTTTGGTATACGACACAATTTGTGAACACGGAACTTTTTTAGAGTTTCTGAAGGGTAAATATGGAAAATGTGTCTACCTTAAATTACATTAACTATTACAGCCATTTTTCATTCTTTAGTTATCCAAGCGGTATTGTGTACTGAATGACTCATAGGAAACAACTTGTAAAAATATCTCGATTTACTTTTCAGATTTATTTATGATACAACATTGTGGAGATTACGATTGTTAATAACTATAAAAATACTTAATGTTCGTGTAATATAATTATATGAGTATAACTCTGCAAGTACGTAGTACCTTGTTGTATAATATTAGGATTTTATAATGAGACAAACGGCAGCAGCATTAAGCAACTAGTGTAAAATATAAATATTAATTTTATATTGCTTTATCACAATTAAATAAGTTTTTACTCAGTTGTGTACCAGTGGAAACTTAAATCTGATAGATATTCTACAAGTGTAAGTTAAATCTTAAAGTATGACCAATAACTTATTACACTATTATTATGGTACCTACTTCATGCAGTATGACTACGATTTATTTCTACGTATATAAATATTAATGCTATTCTTGATTCATAATTTTTATTCCATTGACTTAAAATGACATGTATATAATGTGTACTTATACATACAGTAAAACAACACAAATAACGCAACGTTGAGTACGTTGCGTTATTTGTGTTATTTTACTGTTTAACGTACTATACACTCAGTAATTTTATAGTTGAATCTATTTATTTGTTTTAAGATTTATTGATTTTACAGAGTAAGTTTTGTTACCATACCAATATTTAGGCACGTATTACAATAAGGTATATTCTGCAGTGTTTCTAAAACTAAAACTTTAATTTGATAGCTTAGCGAAAGTAGTAATTTATGCACCACAATGAATCAACAAAATCTAAACGTAAAGTTTACCGTGTTATTTTAAATTAAGTTACAATTTGGTCCTTAGAATACTGATTGGTATTAATTGATAATTTGCTTTTTCATATAGTGATTACAAAATTGTTCTAATAACTATCATTTTCTTATCTCGAATTAAGCAAAGATGCTCATAGATAATATACAAATATAATCCTGTCTAAACAGCGATTTTATGTTGTAATACTGTTTTTCACCCATTCGAATATATAGTATATATATAGTACTTTTTTTATGAATATCAAGGCACATTACTGTGCTATTGAAAAGAAATATAATTATGATTATTGTTATTTTATTTTACCATACCAATCCTAAATTTATACTACGGGTTTCCATTAACATATGAGATCCATTAATTACTAGAACGGCGAAGCCAACACTAAATCTTACCAAAATTCATATCAACAATCTTAATTGTATTGCAGATTTTCATTGACTCGCTTACCTCCAGTAAGAAAATTAATATAAATAAAATTTTAATTAAAATTACAATTATCATAGTATACCTATACAATTAAGACACCAAGCTGATTGTGGAACTCGGTTACTTACCAGTTACAGTTTCAAAGTATCTTATTAAAAATTTTAACTATTTACTGGACAGGACCTTATTTAAACCGAAAGTATTACATTCTCGAATTTATTTGCCTTAGTTTATGATATTGTGTACAAAAAAATGAGAATATTGTTATAAATGATTACGATCAAATAATTGTTTGTTTCACATAGATTATATACAATTTAAAACTAGTTCTTTATTTTAGTTTATATCAAAACTATAAAACTCCGTATAGTTAAATAGATAAATTAATTATGTCTGTACACACTTGGTACTCTATATTATAAATTTATATTTCATGATTTCATAAGTTTATTATTTTTAAGGTAGATTGTTGATTCAAAAATTCTGTTTTAGAAGTATTATTGCTGTTACCTTGTTCTTTTGCCGCATGCTAAATACATTTAAAATATTTGAACGAAAACTTATTGAAATATATATTTATATGTGTAGTTCTTGTTCAGTACTAATCTTAGAGTAATCTACAATTGCTATTACAGTCATATACATGTTTTCCTTTATAGAATTATTTAATATTTATTTCAGAATGATTCAAATATAAGTAATGTAATATAAATAGACCTTTGTGCATTAAAAGAGCTTCATTGTTACTAGGGCATGGCTAATTATATTCAGTGCATAATTTTATTATTGTTCATTGAAAATAATCACACAAATACTATAAATAATTATAAATAATAGCTACAGTTACCTATTTTACGTACTACAGTGTTTTATCACTGTAGTGGAGACAAGACTGCCCCGTTATAATGTTGCATTTACTTGTTTGCTATTGTACATCACATATATAATTTTATACATGTAAATATTCTGTATACTTCTGTATATACGTATTAAATCTATCTATATAATATAGTTATTAGTTAATTTGAGTAGTAACGGCAACTACCTTCTGTCGTTGAGACATTATTTTATAAATATATAAAGTTTTCCTACTAGTTTCATAAAAACTGGCCACCACAATTTAAATTTGTTAAACTTGTACTCATCTAATGAAATTTAGCAACTTACCTAATTGTTGTTTTATATTTTTTATGTCACCAGTATTATTATTCTCAGGCGTTGTTTATTGTCAAAATGTTAATCAGAGGATGTGTTTAATTTTATTTAGTCACTACGTTACAGGAAACGTTACATTTATAATACAATTATACGTACACTTTTGCTCAAGACGTAAAATCTCTAACGGGACGCGGAGTAGCCAGAAAGAAAGAATGAGGCCGGAAATGTCAAAATACTTAGTATATATATGGTATATAATATAAATAAAACGTAATATAAAATGACATCGAGCGAAAGTGAATTCAGATTACGCCTAAAAATTTGGCGTTATGTTGGCCTGTTTGTTTTGCATATTATATAATATATATACTGTATCATGGGCCCAGTTGCTTATTAATTAATATTAATAGGACAGCAAGTACCTAAAGTAAAAACATTTATTTCAACATAAAGTTTTACGTCATAGAAATATATTAATAATATTTATTTTGTTTTATTATTAGTATATTTTCTATGGTACTTCAAAATAAAATGTCTCTTGTCGTAAAACAATGTACATATTAATTGTAAAATATAAGAATTGTCGTAATAAATTGTCATTCTTAGTTATCATGTAGATATGTTTTATATCAAATACGAAAACCAATACTTTTGCTTAATACTTAAACATCTTTCAGTACTAACTCCTGAATCATTGTTGTTTCGTTGTATTTTTAATACAAATACATTGACAATATCGTTAATATACTTTAGAATTTCGGTTTATTGTATTATTATAAATGTATATATTAGTACAGGCATATATAATGATATATATTATATAGAAGCTTCACAGACATAGATAAAAATAGCTGCCTCATTTCATATGAAACTAAGTATGTTATTACTTAATCAATTGCCTTGATGATGCCTTGCCCAAATATATATAAATATGTAGTAATTTTTCTTCTTTAAATACTTACAAAATACTGCTTTTTTACCATTTTTATGTAGAATTTCGGAATTTTAATTATAACCAAAGTAATAAGTCTGTACGTATTGAGTAGACTCAATACTGGGCCTAAAAATTGAACCACAAACAGTTTTATCCTTCGTCATCTGTTTAAATCCATATCTGTGCTAATGTTGTTTATTGTTATTTTTTATTTGGTAAATCTAAAAACAGGCATTTTTAGTGAATAGTCTGGACATGCCAATTTTAAGTAACTTTGAATACTTGATACAGAACTAATAAAAAATAACAATTGCAAACAATAAAAAAATATAATTTGATAGAAACATGCTAAGAGAATATGCTACAAATAAACTGTACTTAATGGTATCAATACTTAGGTATATATAAATTAACCACAAATCTAGAGGACAACCAACATGGTACCAGATAATTGTAAGCAATAAACAATGTGTGTGTCAGTTTTATCTTGCCTACATTGATGTGTTCGTTAAACTATCATTTATGCTCACATTATTTCTTGCACTATTATTTAAAGAATATTTAATAACTGAGGAGAGTGGAATGAACATTTTTAACTTTTTACCAAGTGATGTGTAATTAGCACTTAAAATTTTGTTTCTTTGTTACAAGTGGTAATAGAGAATTAGATACATTACTCATAATAAATTACTTATATATAATTAAATTTTATTTGAACTGAATATTGTTAACCTATTTCAACCACCAAGTATTTTGTAAGCTGTTTTTGCTGTAGGTTGAGAAATGGCAGTGAATTGCAGGCCATTGCCATTGTTCTTGCATGGCATTCTTTTAAGCATGATGACCTCCTCCACGGGCACCATATGGTACCGTGTTGTTAGTAGAGTTATAGTTCATTTAAAGAACGGTTACAACTTACTGTTAGGTGATAATAGTTCATGTTGCTTGTTTGCGATTTCAATTAATAATAAATATATTCATATGTCGAGATTCTATAAAAATATATAAATCAAATTCATAGAGTTTAGTGCCATTCTAAGCTGAGCTTTAGTGTTAAATATAGTATATATTTAGTCAGTACTACAGTAATTTCGTACTGTACGTAAAGTATCGCCCGGTGATACTGTAAAGGTCAGTTGCGGCCAACAGAATTAGTGTAGTTCGAAAAAAAATGTTCATAAAGTCTTCTTTATTTTAAATGGCCGCTACCAATTTTGATCGGTGATTTGGCCGATGTTTTTTTTTTTTGGTTTGGTTGATTATGCCCATGGTTTAATTTTATCGCAGAGGAAAATTTGACATTTCCTATGTTGCCAGCTTTTTGCGATTCTTAAATAGTGTTGTGGCCCAATCGAAAATTAATATTAATTACCGATATAAAAACAAATACGATTCAGCAAATCGGTATTGGAGATACAGCCAATACAGTTGGTAGCGTTATTTGAAGTTTTGACAGTTTTTTAATAGATGATAATGGAATGGTAATTGGTACCCCATCTGCACCACCGGTATAGCTGGCTGGGCACCAGTTGAGGATGACAGGATGAGCATGAGGTTAGTTAGCCCATCGTGGCAAATTCACAAAAAAAATATCACAATGGTTTGATTGTTCGCAGGAAAGTTAACATTTACACAAGGGAAAAGTTTGACATTTACACTTATCAATGTAATCTTCGGAATTAAAAGAAAACAGACTAAAACGGACATAAACTTAAAACAGACACGACCTCATCTATCTTAACAATGTTGTTATTGGTGATTGGGTCGTTCTTCTTTTTAACCTACAAAAAGGTGTCTTCATCAGTTAAAAAAAAATATAATCGAAAATTATCCGTATTATTTTATTATTAATGTTTCAATATGTACTATACTAAAAATGTAACGGCTATACACGTTCACAATAAATAAACATTTATATTTTTATAATAAAAAATACGTTACAGAGTCGTCAATCCGCGTGACAGAGGTGTATTTCATACAAATCATAGTTGTCTCCCGCTACCTGAGCCTATGTTTAATTCATAATGGTACGAAAAAATATAAAGGCAGTAGCAAATATAAAAGTATTTTTTAATTCTACAAGATAACAAAATATTAAAGTCTTGTCTTTCACTACAGACTGTTTTAATAGGTATATTCGGTCACATGTTTTTTAATTCGAGCGACGCGTATACGCGGGTCGCTTTTGTTGCCGTCGATTGGATATTTAGTCCTTCCTATCCCTTGCTGAGATAAGCTCTCTAGGACTTAGAGATTGCGCGTAAGTCGCCCGGAATCTGTGTATGGAGGTGCGTGTGTTTATTCGGCGGCAACTTCGTCACGTAAGGGGGTCTTCCTATGTGACGGCCTGTTTTTTAGGGATATTTTAGGATTTTTTTTCTACGACCAGTAAATATTTAGAGCTTCAAGTTTTTTATCATTTATTAACACATATTTGGACAGTATAAATATAAAATTTCAGCTAAAAATATTCAGTCAAACTAGAGTTACAGCGCTCTGAACACCCCCGCCTCGAAAAAAAGAGCTCCCACTTCCTCCACGATTCCGGCTGATCGGCTTATCTGAAAAAAAAAAAAAAACGGCGTTTTAATTTGTAGGCTTAAAAGCACGGAATGACCTATAATCAAATGAATATAAAAAAAATTGGATTTTTGATAGACATTTGAAATAAAAGTTGCAAATTAGGCGTTTTTTTTTTTGTTTTTTGCTATAAAAAAATTGAAGTTTTGAAAATTTTCGATTGATAATAGTTCATTCCATGCGTTTACATATATTGAGTGTGCCCTGTAAATTTCAAGTAATTCGGTCCAGCCGTTTCTGAGATACAATGGAGGAAAGTTTGAAAAACACAGTTTTGAGAAAAACGTGTTTAAAGTTTCAAGTCCGTTAAAAACTATTAAAATATCAACTTACTCTCAATCGGCGATGCCTGGTCCATAGAGTATTCCTTCCTCTTCCTCGTGAAACTCTTTTAAAGCAGATTGTTCAGCTCTTGAGTCAATCCTGGCTTGTTTAACGACATCACTTACGCGCCGCTCAGAGCGTAAGATTCGCTTTTCATCCCGTTTCTCAACATACGCTTGGGCTTCACGACCAACAGGGCATCCCATAATCGACATAACTTTTAAAATACCTTGAAAACCTTCATTAAAGATAATAACACTCACACGATAAAATAATTTTAAAGCCTAGGCCTCGGAAACTTGATCGCGAAATAGACACATCACTTTTACAAGTTTTACATATAACTATTTCAGAGATTGCAGCAAATACAGAAACAAACTTCAAAATGCAATATGCGAAATTCGAAGCGATGGGAACATTCATGTTCATGTTATTTTTAAGTTTTTTGGCCGAAGCTGATGTAAATACCGTATCATTTTGGTGGGTAAAACGGTTTCCACTAAACTTTCTTTTTTTACTACGACCAGGATGAACGTTTACTCGTACTTCCTTTCCGTCCACTCATTATGAAAAAAAATAATTTGTAGCTGTTGCTCTCTTCGAAGTTCAACCAAGACTAAAATAACTTCGGTAAAATATTATAACAATAGAAATTTCTGTAAACAAATATATTAATAAAAGGGAGGCCAGGTATAAAGCCGACGGTACACAATAGGCCCGGTCTCTAACTGCCAACTCACCGCTCCGAACCGCTCTTTCTTTTACCTGCTGTATCTTTAAAACGACTTCGAATTTTCTAAAATCGCTTTACTACCGTATTCTAGACATGTTAAGGGAGCAATTTATGAAAAAAAAAAATCGATTTTTTCAACCCATCACATAGGAAGACCCCCGTAAGTATTGTACAATAATATATCAATTACAGTTACTTCTTATTATTTAACTTTTGCGTAATAAGAAACACTTTCATGCCAACCTGTTACGTTTGTATTTTGTGGTAACGTTTATATATTAACAATTTTGTAAGTAAGATTTACCCCTCCGTCACGCTACTACTTCGTCACAATAAAATTGTGACGGAGTGGTAAAGCACGCGACGGATGGGTAAAAAATACTTGCAAAAAATATAATATTTATTTTATCTCATAAAATATAGGAATCTGTTGAAATAGGGCCAGTACTTATTATGGCAACTATTTTGATATAAAGTTTATCTAGTGTTTTTCTAATGTTTATGGATTATGACGAAAAAGAAGGCATTAACAGCAGAAAAAAAGCGGCGTTGCCGTAAGATACAAAAAAGTTATACAGAAAAGGTAGCTGAAGTAAAACGCAAACATCTCGAGAGATATCATACTCGTAAGAAGCTTGTGGCTGACATGACTGTGAGAGAACATCGTATGATGAAGAGAAAATAGCGACAAGAAAAGAAAAAAAACAGACGCTTGAAAACATACTGTTGAACACGCCGGCTCCATCGCCATCCAGAAATACGTCCTCATTCTCCAACACCAACTAATTCAGAAGTGTCTAGCTCAAGAGGGAGGAAGAGAGTGAAAAGAGTTAGAACACAGAGAGAATATTAGTTTACAAGATAAAATAGAAGAATTAGAGAGGAAAGTTCAAAAATACAAGAAAAGCTTGCACAGAAAATCCAAAAAGATGGCAATAGCAAAGATGAAAAGAACAGTAAGAATAAAAACAAATATAGTGTCCTTTCCAATGTCATTAAAGAACGATACCAAACTTGCATTTTTTTTAATCAGGACATGGAAAGGCTAATGGTATTGGTGGAACTTTGAAACGCCAAACTGATGCAATAGATTGTAGCAATAGGAAAATATTTCGGAGACGTGTTAGAATTCTTTTTCTCCATTCAAGATACCAGCAAAATTAAATGGTTTTTGGTGGCAGACGAAGACGTAGACAATGGAGTTTCGACTATTCCAAACAGTATTTTACCCCTGAAAGGAACCATGCAAATCCACCAACTGTTCTCAGAAACTCGTGGAATCTTAAACTTTAGGGTTCTGAGTTGTTTTTGTGAACAATTCTGTTCGTCGTTTCTAAAACTTATTGGCCTCTGCCTGAAACAGAATCCAATGTTGAAATAATAAATGAAAAATAAGATGTTGCAATTCATGTAGTGGAGGATTTGTCGCTCACGATATTACGAACAAAATTGGGATGCCTCGAAAAAGATTTTATGATATTATGTATGAATCATCTGAGGAAGATCAGCCATTGCACACTTATATACAAGCAAAGATTCCTCTAATCCAACGGCCTTTTCTAATACTTCTTAAGAAACACTTCACCTCAAGGCCATTCATCAAAGGAATATAGAAGACGGTGTACATGTACTCGTTAAAGTAAAAAGTGAATTGAATGACCAATATACATACGTCACATAGGCAATATTCTGGTGATGTTCTTGAAAACAGTCGATGATTGTGGAAGATTATTTATTAGTGGAGAATGACTTATCAGATGTTCCGTATGAGGATTTCATTAAAATTCTACCAAATCCAAAGGTAGTTAAAAAAGGAAAGAGAAGGTTTTTTGAATTTGATGAGCTTTTGCCAGTGTTCGAAAAGTAAGACTGATTAGGATAAGTATGACTGAAGAAAGTAATTTGTTGATGATGATTATTATTTTATTTTAATGTTTCAGTCAAGTTAGACATTTTTTTTTATTTGAGACAAGTTAGAAGTCTTATAATTTAATTATACTAATACGGATCTCATTCCAAAGGTTCTGCAATGTGATTTTATTAGTATGAGAGTATTTCAGTTGTAAGAATGTAAGACTGTCAAATATTTAATTATTCTAACGAAGTAATAAATGATTCTAAATAAAATATTCATTTAAAACTAGTTTTATTCCAAAATGTAACCGGATATTATATAGAATAACAATTCTGCCACATACTCTACCACTCTGTCACGATATGTCTCCTGGTTTTAAAATTTATATAGTCATTTTAATATTTTCTTATGAATAGTACAATTTCGGAAAAATTATATTAAAAATAGTTAACTATAATATAGTCTACAACATTAATATTTCTGTGCTAGAAGTGGTTAAAATTGAATTATAGCAAAAATATACTTCTAAAAAACTGCAATTGTGACAGAGTGGTATAAGATTAAAAATATATATTTATTGTTATATAAAGAAGTCTTGCCTTGTAAGTTTTCTAAAAGGACGGAAAAGAAGGAAAGGAAATCTAGCCATTTTTTTTCGGACTACTCTAATGCTGTAGGCTGCAGCTGGCCTTTACAGCTTCACCGGACGTTAGGGGGATAGTGCAGATGGCACTCCAAACCCGCGGAAGGACTTATGGAGCGGCTGAAGGCCAGCTCCTCGGCTCAGGCCGTCGTAATTTCGATCCACATTGAATTGAACGGGGGATCGATCGGAGGGGCGATCTAGCCAACAACAAAAAACTGTTTCCCGATATATGTTTCTGACTGAATTTGGTAATGGAAATATTGATAATAAACGAAATAAATCCGAAACGTGGTGGCAGTCTCACAAGGTTGAATTCAAATACATATATCCGAAATCTGGGTATATCAATATTACATATAAAGTTATTGTTTTTTTAGTGTTCATCATGCCATTTAATGTCTCTTACTATTTCATCTGGGACAATAGTCGTGAAGATATTTGACAATATTGGATTGTTACAATTACAATAATAAATAAAAAATGTAGTTTCTTACAACATGATTACTGTATAGCTAGTATTGGAATAAGGTTGGTTGATCATTAATTAATAAAACATTGACTCAGCTGAATGAGCTATCATTGCGTTTTACTAAAAGTATAATATGTGTAACGATTATAAAATAAGTAGCCTCTTTAATTCTTGACTTTTTATCGATGTTTGTTCTTTATTCAATGTAGAGATATATTGGACATCACTAGTTTCACTGTTTAAAAAAAAAAACATATATAAACAAACGGAAAGATATATAAATCTTTTTTGTTTCTCTAATATAGGAATAGGAATATATTATATAAATATTAATAATATTTTATATTGGATATAGATATAGATTACTTTATAATGGATGTCCTCTTTTTGATAGAATCACAAGAAATATTTGAAAAGGTAAGTCATCAAAATTACAATTTGTTTTTAGTATTTGCTAGATATGTGTTAGAAGAGCACTTTAGTCAATTTTCATAATGAGTATTTAGATGTGAAAAGTATACGTTTACTAAGCTATTCCATTATAGTATAGTTATAGGCTGCCAACATAGTATAGTTATTATCAATATCCTAACGATTGAAAGAAGTGGTGACACTTTAATAATACTTAAATTATAATTTGTTTCAGGTGGCACAAGAAATTGTAAATAATTTGTATGGATCTAAAGTTGTGTTACTCGATGATGTAGAAATCAGTATAATCAAACAAGCTAAGGATGATTTTAAGAATATTATTTCACTGTGTAATTTTGATATGACTAAAGTTAAAGAAGTACTACTGGAAAAAGGTTGGAATGAATATAAACTGAAGTTTTTCTTTTCTTTACTTGATACTAGAAAGAATGAATTACTTTATGAAATATTATTGAGTCATAACAGCACATTTGGTGATACTATAGCAGGCTTCGATTGGTATTTAAAAATTGTGCTGGGTACAAGTGAATTAAAAATATTAAAGTATCCTTTGTTACAGCTTATACTTTCAATTAATTCCAGTGACGACCAAAAACAAAGAGTATATGATGTGAATAAAATTATTTTAAGCAAAATGATAAATATTTTAGAACAAATTAATGAAATAAAAGTGTAATCCAATTGACATTCATTTTTCTTCTAACTACCTGGTCTAATTTAACTAACAATTTCTGTCGAATAATGCAATATTATTTTGATATATTCTTAGTAGAATGGTAGTCCATTGACATTGGTATCTGCGCAAGACATTTATCACTCTAGGTATGAAATAATTCAATGTAATAATCTTTCTCTTAACACAATTTGTGAACTCTGGATTAATTACTGCAATAAGGACTCCATTGTAATTATAATATTGTATACCAACAATCTTTAATCAGCAGGCAAATTATATTAATTTTCTGAACCCTAAAAGCTGTTGTTAATAAAGGGAAATATATATTTTTATATCATATATATGATAATGGAATGGTGCACCCACCTACATTAACTATTTTATGCTGGAGGTGCACCAGTGGAGTATGATAAAATAAGCATGAGGTTCAGACAGTTAGCCCAAGCAATGGAAAATTTATCACACTGGTGTCTGCAGGAATCACATGGAGGTCAACCTGACATTGCTACTATGTGCTCCTCTCTCTTCCTCCCAGGGAACTATTATTTATGGATAATAATGGAATGGTGCACTTGCCTGCGCTAACGATTGTTATAACGTTAGCGGGGTACCAGTGGAGATGATAAGCTGAACATGAGGTCAGGTCAATTAGCCCAACATGACAAATTCACCAAGAATTTATCGCGACGGTTGCTAGGGGGAACCGCGTGGAGGTCAACCTGACATGGTACATTGCTAGCAATAAGATCACCAATCCATAGTACTAATAATCCTCTTTCACGTTTACACGTTTATACGTTTTCTTGTCTCGATAGCGTATATTCAAGACGATACCGTGTAAAAAAAAAAGAGTACAACGGATGGCGCTATAAAATTAAAGCCATTCAATTTCAGAAACTATTGAATCTGATATTTAATAATCTGTTAACAAGATCATGACTGCAAATATTTTTTAAAATTCTGCTTTCATTGCAAGATGTTTCTAAATAAGGGTATCTTAATAATAAATACAAATCCTATTAAAGTAAAATCACATTCGCACTTTACAGATATTATATTTTCTAGATTCGAAGCTGTTAGTACAGGGTTGTGCGATTGGTTTGCTTCTAGCAACTAGTTGCTTTGCTTCTAGCTAACTACTACCCTGCTGTTTGTATATTGTCCTATTATGGATTTATTTACAAGACCTGCGCAAACGGGCGGCACGCATCTGGGTATTTTGCTCCCAGAAATATGCATGTTACGATAACTTTACAAACATGTCCGTGTTAAATGTGAATAACATACAGAAAAATTTTATTATATTATCTTAATAGCGGGTCTCGATATCTATCTTCTGGATGTACCAAAAAATTGTCTAATAGTGTCAACATTAACAAATTAAATATAATATTCTGATTGATGATGATTGAGCGGATGTTAATATAATTTGACGTAACTAAATATATGTAGATTGTATTACGACGACAGCATTGTCTTTTATCTCGGTAACAGTTATAATGTCATATTTAATATCAGTCGCAAGTCTGGTGACCTCTCCGATCCTAAAGTACGACATTCCGGTATACCGTGTACTGCAGTTCATACCAATGTACCTTCCATAACTGCAATGTCCTCTCTTACCTGGTATCCTTTCAAATATCTATTTTCTTTATGTACGAATATCTACACATGTCCGTAGCTCTCGCTTTTCACCGTATGTGACAGATATCATAATCTACGATCCCCGCAAAGCAATCGCGGCGGTCTTGTCGCCACCAACATAACATGCACCTTCATAGAGGACTACTGGCTGAAGGTATCGGCGCTACCGCTTTATATTTTATTATTATTATTTCATATATTAGTCTATAAGGTATATATAATATTGGCCATTAGTACCCTGAATTAAATAAAGAAATAAAACCATTAACATAAGGCAGGAGGAAGGTAATATAAATGCAAAAAAAATATCCAAGAGCAATGGAAAAATGCAGGGAGATCAGGGTGATGATGGTCATCATCTTGAGTCATTACCGAATTTGTGATTGGCGTCGCCATATAAGAGGCTTGACTTTTTTTCATTGATGAAATCTTGACGCTGTAAGAGTACAGGACATTTCTACTCAACTCCAATTGTATGAAAAAAGCCATAAGAAAGAAAAATAACTTGCTTTACTTTAAATTTTATTGATAAGAGACATTCACACATCAACATTTAGTTTAATTAAATTGGAATAACATATTAATTATTATTATTATACAAATTCCAATAGCGGGAATGAGCAAACAAGTTACACTTTTAAAATGATAATTATTTTACACAATACTGTATAAACTATAAATATCTACCTATATTTAAAAGTCTGCATTATGGAAAGTATTACTCAACGTTACTACGATATTTAGATTGTGTACAACAAGCTGAATTTCAGAATCAATGATTCCTACAATCATGTTTATCTTCATATGAACTATATTAATGTGTATCAAAATATTGCCAGGGAGTATAGGGCTATTATGACATGCAGTATGCATTTGATATGGAATGTCTCATTCGTGTTTACTGCTAATTGGAGTAATTCTCCCAGTCATGCAGATGTGTCACTTAGAATTTCATAAAAAAGGTATAAAATTACAAAAATGATTATGAAACCATATTAATATGCGAGTTATTGTAGAAACTGACACTATTGTATAGTAATATCAAACCTTACGACGAATAATCTAATTGTATAAGGTGGAAACCGATATAAGTACCTACTAATGGCAGCCCTCATTATCTGACTACCATCTAACTGTTACACATACTACAAGTCTAAATGTTACAATATAATGTCTGTATATTCATAAAAATTGTATAATATAATCGAAAAGTTGGCCGCTGAATATTTGCTCCAAAATTCCACATATACTTAAAATTTTCGTTTAATTTGGATTCGATGACCATAATAATAATGTAATTAATATTACTTGACAAATTTGTCTAAACAGTTACTTCTTATTGTAATAATATCTCACTAGGCATTGTAGTAACTTACCAATACCTAAATTCGAATATAATGAGTTTGACAGAGAGCCGTATTGTAACTAAATTTATACAACTTAACATAAATTAAAATTACAAGAAGAATAAGATACAAGTGCGTAATAAAAATTTAGCACAATAATGAGATAAAAGAAATTCATTGATATTATACCTCAACACCTTTAACACTTTACATTTAATTGCAAATTTTAATTTTCAATTTGACACAATTAACAGATTTTAATACATAAGTTTAATGAAATTCAATTAATTATTCTTATATACATTACAGCAATGTCGCAAACTACCATAATTAGAATTATATCGTATCATCACCGTATGGTATACATTTCATGTTCTCTATTACATTTAAACCACTGCTGTTACCATATTTATATGATTGTTTAGGTTACTTGAACAGTTTATATAACGAGTAACGTTATGGTGTCATTAACACCACTCATATCAATCACTCGTATCAATCCGGAAATATTCGATCAAATTAATTATTAAAATCTTATAATAATGTGCATTTATCGTAATTGGTAGCAGGATAATCGGCTGATGTTATTAGTAAATATTCCAAATCCATTGTCTAGATTTGAAAGAATAAAATTCTTTATACTATTAATAATAATACATTTAAATTATAATTTTTAAAATAATCGAATCAGTGTTTGTATTACGATCGACCAAAAACGAATAGCGAATTTAAGAGTAATGAACAAAATAAAAAAACTTATTATTACCAAGTTAAACATATATGGACATATAAACATGGTAAGTCAGTAATGTCTTCTCTAACTAACAAGTTTGGCTAGAACGCAAGATGTTCCCAATCATAACTATCTCCATGTGCATGTGGCACACACATGTATTTACAACAACCATATAATTGTACCTACGATACCCAATTCTATTATCAGGATTATATTCACAAAACGTGCCTCCCAAGAAGCAATTTCAAAATGTATTAGAAATTACATAGTTCAAAATGAATTAATTTTTTAGAAAATACATCGTGTCTGTGTAATCTATAATATTGAGACTCAAAGTTTTGAATGCAATCGTAAAGTAAGTTATTTTGAGATCGAATTTACTACATTTACGAAAAATGTGTCGAAGTGTCGTTAATTAATGGCAAATGTACAATACTACAAATTCACAATATTTCAATAAAATAATTATCTTGCAGTAATGATATTTTTGCAAAATTAAAATAATTTAAGGAGCAAGTAACACGCGACGACGTCAAACTAATACCCCTGTAATAATGGCACCAACTTATCGCACCGTATACTGCCTACATAACTTTGTTATTGTATATTATATAATTATAAAAAAACTCGAACCTAGCGAATAAAATGTATAAAATCTTAATTTTACAAAAGCAAAGCGCTAAACTTATACTAATAATCATTCTATATGAAATGTCACATTTGAACGGAAATCCACATCTTTGACAATATAAAATAAAAATCGAACTTAGTTCGATAATCACACCACAGTACTAAATGGAAATAAATTAAAGGCTCATTTTATGACACACAATGTGCCGGTGGACGTTGAGTTTAGTCATATGTGGTGATTAGTTGGCCACCGCCACGTCAGTCGTCGTCTCCTGAAAACAAATATTTCATTTTAGAACACATTTTTTAATACATATTTTTTACTACAATACTAATTCCTGTCGGTAAACTCACCAATTCAGTTTTCAGTTCTGGTACAACTGGAACTTCAGGGATCAAATCCGCTATTTTGTCGGTGACGGGAAGGTGTTCCTGTAATAATTACACTTAATGTATTATGTGTTGTGTATGTGATCTCCGGCACATACACTGTACTGTACACAGCCGAGCGCACACATACGCAGCTGAACCGAGCTGGGTCGTTATTTAATAATTTAAAATAAGACCATATTGTATTAGTGTAGATTTTAAAAGAATAATAATGTACTTTACGTGTAGGAATTGTCATATTACGACATAAATTAAATAAAACATTAAGATATATGAGACATAATACCAATGTCAATATGTTATTGAAATATAAGTAGTGGTTAAATTTATTATAAATTTACATTTATCATCACATGTTGCATATAGATAAAATTAACTTATGTATATTGTGTACCGTATTCAAATTATTACACATGTTTAATTAGCGGAACTAATTTGGACAAAATAGTACTACATTATTTTACAAGAAAAAAAAAATAACTTTAATAACATTAACAAGTAGTTGGAGCAATTAGCTAGACTTATCTATTTTTATAACTAAAAGTGTTAGCACAGAAGCAAAATATTGACATGCCTTTTTTGTTTTAATTATGATATCTACATTAATGTATGTTAAGCGAAATGGGAAAGGATAGGATGGGAGGGCAGCACCTAGCTGCATTGGCTGTATATGGGATATATCGATTCGAGCACACTCCAATTCTTCTTGTTATTGACGATCCACATGCTGATACAGATAATGCACATGAAACTAAATACGGCAACTGTTAACGGGATGGCAAAACGTTCTTTTATGTTACGTTACTAATCAATCCACTACAAGAGTAAGACTGTCCGGACAGTATTCACCTGTGGAATGTCCGCGGGTGGATCATCGTTCAGCTCCGGAGTTGCGGCCGACGATACCTCTGACTCGGAGCGACAGAGCTCGCTCGGTGGCAGCGGGAACGATTCAGACGCGTCATTGCTTGCTACGCCCGTCTCCTCGGGCGGCAAACACTCATTCGTCTCCGAAAGGGAAGGCGGCAAAGAGTCATCAGCAACTGTCGTCGTTGCTTTTTCTAATTCCATGTTAACATTATCTAATGGTGTTATGTCTGATACATCATCTATTTTTTTTATGACTTTGGGTTCATCTATATTATTACCATTGCACTCAATTATGACATTGTTGAGTGAATCTTTGATTTCGGTTTTCACAATATCTTCGGTGTATTCATCATTAATATCATTAGTATCATTTACAACTGTCACATTAGAATTAACGAGTGTTTCTTCAGAGTTGTGTGTGACTGTTACTGATGTATCAATATTATCTATTGGCGGGGGAGGAGGCAAATCTTCAAATTCATGGTTAATTTCAGAATTTTCCTGTATTTTGATGAGTTCAGAGTTAAAAGGAGGAGGTAAATTAATTTCTGGAGATGGTGGTTTTATTTCCGAATTCTCCTGAGGTGTTACATCGATTTCAGATGTTTTTGTAGATATAGCCTTAGGTTGTGGACTTTCGGGAGGGGGTATATCGATTTCATTACAATCTGGAAGGGGGGCCTTAATTTCTATATCAGGAAGCGTTGGATCCACTTTAATTGTTTCCGGAGCATTGATTTCAGATGTATTGAGAAGAGACATGTTCTCATCAGAAACTTCTGTAATTTCAGCAGCTTCTTTGTTTGGCTGAGATATATCGTTTTGAATGATTTTGGTAACATTCTTAGTTTCTAGATTATCTACGTTTTCTTTTAAAGAAGAAGAATCGCACAATTCATTATTTTTTTCTTGGACTATTTCGATTATTTTTTCCGGACTAATTTCTTTTAAGGGTAAGGAATTTTCATTCATTTTTTCGGCTTTGAGTACAGGTTCAGTTAGAGGTATATTTTCCTTAGACAAATCTGCTTTAGTGCCAAGCATTGCAGGCAGTGACGAAGTTGGGGTTTCTGTAGTGTTAGCTAGCGAAGCATCTGTCAATTCTGGTGCCATAGTAGTAGCGGCAAAAGAAGCCACTGATGAAGGAGGAGGATTAGCAGGAAGTGGTGGGGGCGTGGGTTCTATCAAAGGCATTTGTTCAACACAAACCTCTTTTGTGACAGGGATTTCAGGGGCCGGAACGGACTCAGTCAGTTCAGCTGGTTGATCAGGCTTGCTCTCCTCAATTTTCGTTACTTCAGGCTCATCACTTTTGGCTTCCTCCAATGATAGTCCATTTACAGGCAATTGCTCCACATCAACTTCGGCTTTAGGTTCAGGCCTGTCGGTTTCTGGGTTTGTTGCAACAGTCTCTTCAATGATAGGAGTTTCCACTTTTTGTGATTCTGGAGTAGTGCTTCCATTAGTGATAGGTTCAGTCACTGGAGTTTCCGGAGTCTTTTCCGCTTTACTATCAGTTTCAGGCTTTGCTTCCTCTGCGATTTCATTAATCGTAGTTTCAGTGGTAACTTCGGCCGCCTATGAACATAAAGAATAAATAACATAAATGTATATTCATATATAACAATATTTATACATCAGGCTTTCTGACATTTGTACTGGTGGTCAATCAGGTTTTTTTGCTGTAAATAGAGTTGAAAAATATTGAAAGATTCGTAAATGATTGAATTACTTAATCTAAAGAAAACTCTAGTGTGCTGTAACGAAAGAATTAAGTAGAACTAAAGATATGTAGAGACTATTACTTATTAAACTTTATTATTAGGGAGTTATCTAAGAAACTGTAATTTAAAAATAAAATTATAGGTCCAAAAATAAGCTTAAACGACAATAATAATAAAACGATCTCTTGTCCAACATTTCGACTTTTAATTATGTTAAATATTTTTCTTAAAGTAATATGTTATTAATGTGGTTAACCATGCACTATCACACATCTATTAATTAGCACAATCCCGTGTACCTTGTCTTCGGCCATATTTTCTATAATTATAGCAGTTGATTTCAAGAACGAATCCTGCTTAAGACTGAAGGGAAGCTGATAGAACCAATGTAATTTATAGTGCTATTTTTTTGTAACGGTAGATTGACGATCATTTTTAAATAGGCTGTTACCCTTCATTGGTCGTGAACGGAGATATATAATATTGCAAACTCGAATAGGGTTACCAAGTTTATTTTGTCAGTAACATTTGAGGAAAATTATAATATATAAACATGACACACACAATTATGATTTATTTCATTCATTATATAGAAAAGTAGTAAATTGCTATTATTACTTATTAATTCTATGAACAAAACAATCCGTTTGACTCACATTACTGATACAAGGAAAAAATATAGGAATCAATATAACATAAATTAATAACAATACAATTGAATTGTTAGATGTTTAATAGAAAATACTCATATTAGCAGAATATTTTTGTTTTTTGGACGATGAATGACAAATGTGAGTGTATTTAGATTAAACGTGATTATAATTTTACTTCTTTAAATAAAACATAACATTTTTATGTACATGTAGGAAATTAAAAAAAATAGACTAAATTTATCAATCAAATATAACATCCTTGATGTAAGTCTAACAACGACCGCATTTTTTACAAATTCTCCATAACACAGCAATGGGAACAAGGTCTCAAAACCGAAACCCGTTTGCGATGTATGGTCAATATCCCCGTGTTCGCCAATATAGGAAGGGAGCGTTAGATTAGCTCGCTCTGAATAATACTTTAGATAAACCCAGTCAACCAACTACTACGTTGATTAATCTAGGTCCTGATAAACAAAATTAAAAGTACCTGGTCATGGTCCAGTTCAATTAATTATAAAATATTAGTAACGTGTCACAATTCACATGTATTCTAGTTCCAAACCAAGCAGACATTTTACTATGGTACTAAACAATGGACAGAAATACATTGTTTGTAAATGAAAAAAAATTAATAATTTGTGCTTTTTTTTATTACAAACAATCAAAGGGTGGTTTCTTTCAGTTTATCTTAAAGAATCACAATTTGTTTGACCACTACCAAAATTTATATTCGTATTGTTCCTATTTACTTCAAATTGTATACAAAACTATAACTTGTATACATGACTTAAATTTTAATCACAACCCCATTTAAGCCAAGGAAACTGTGTACGACTCCGTAGGTTACAGATTAGTTAATGATTATTTTCATAATTATAATATAACTTTTTCATAATTATAATAATCACTTTTATATAAGTGATGGTGACGACAAATCAATTGTTTAAAGTGGCCGTGTACCAATTTAATTTCGCCTTCGACTCAATATTTGCATTAATATGAAGTAATCTTAAGGAGTACTGTGGTTCAGGGTAAGCCGGGACTCCGAGGATTACGAAGGTTGCTTCATATAAGGCAACAGCCCTTGTTACACATTTGTGTCTAGAGACACTTATTATTTTAAATGTTTAACAGAGTGCAGCTGTAAGTCAAACGAAAACAACAAATGTTATCTCTGAACCGCAATGATGAGGTGAACCACACCACCAAATTTTGAATGTCAGTAAATACTGAATCACTATTGTATAGCTATTGTAACATAAAACAGGGCGACGAAATATGTAAGTGGGCGGTTAATTGTGCTATTGAGAAGTAGAAAAATATTGGAATCTGAATTACCTAATAGGAGTAACCTAGTAACATAATAAATTAAGAAGATATAAAATTTAAATATAACAAAATAATTTACGTCCACCATAAACTGTTTTGTAATAAATAAAACAGATAAAATATATTATTTCAGTTCGTAGACACGCAACCGCACTGTTGTGGTGAACAATAAAACGATACCACTACACAAGGCCGTCTTTGTTTACTGATGTAGAAAGACACGCCTCAAGAGCTGCACTAATAGATGTATCCGATCCGAACTAAGTTTGGCAGCACTCGATAGGCAGAGTGCATCCATTATATAAAAATCATCGTAATATAACACTACAATTATAATTGACAGATTTAACAGATATGTATTGAAAAAATAGTACTGATACACACTATATATATATATATACGTCTTTATAATTCATTGTACTTTTTAAAAATATCAGATATTCTAATTTGATGATTTCACGGAAACTGAAACTTGGAATTTTTAATTATTTACTGATAATGAAACGACCTCTGTTTCGACTCACATAATACAAACAATTGTATTCATGAATATGACTGTTGGTATTTATCTGGATATTTCCACGAATATGTATACTGTATATGTTTAAAAACCCCCAGTTGTCTACTACCCATAGTACAAGCCCTGCTTTATTTGGGATTAGATGGCGCGTCAGTACATGATTAGTATAATTATACATATAGGTGATACAACTTGTAAACTAGTATGTTTCCAAACGTGGGATAAACAAGAACACTTGGCAAATTTACTTCTACATGAAAGCGATAGTGGTACTTCGTTTACAGATGCGAATGTTTACACTTCGTTTTTTGGGTAGTCTGAATTTACTATACCATATGTGGTTTATGGAACTTACAACAGTGGCGATGTCTTACTTGTACCTTCTTCCTTACATATAAATGAAAATGAAATTTCAAAAAGATTTCTACAATACAGTATTGGGATAACCAGGTATGTGAATGAATGAAATAATGTATGAAATAATGTATTTGTTTTTTAGAAGAAAAATTAATCATTAATACTACAAAACAACTAGTATATTTCTATTTTGAAACGAAAGTTAATTTATCAACGTATTTAAGAATGTAAACTTTATATAATTCTATATGAAAATATAAACCACTTTAATATTTTGGATGAAAATCCAAAATATTAAAGTGGTTTCCGATAATCATATCTATATATACTACAATTAAGTAATATATATACACTCATATACCTATACCTATACACTCGAATGTAAGCCTTTATCTATACGATCCTGACGCTTTATGTACACAAGAATTGCTCCTTTCATATTAGGTTGAAGAAAACACATGCACAAGTCGAATTTCAGTTCACAACTGTACTAACAAATCTATAGTACAATAAAAATTCAAAAAAACGTCTCTTAACCCGGACAATTAGTTAATCCCAAAAATAGCCTTTATAACAATATTTTTAGGATTATGGTCAAAAGTAATATCAAAGGCTAGTAGAGGAATTTCTTATTTATTCCACTACTTAGATATATTTCAAGTAAATAAATATGTCAACAAAAGCAGCTATAATTTTAACAGAATATAAATAGAAATTGGTCGCATTGGATGCATAGTAAACAGCCCGCATGCATTCTTGAATTAACCTACAAAAGGCATTATGTTCTCATTGATTGAAACATAATGCCACCCAATTTGGAAAATGCATTTATAAATTGATAAGTACTTTATTGAATGTATGTGGTCGATAATCGCTTACATGTCTGACAATAATCTCACGAGTAATATAACGACAGTAGTCCTTAACTAATTGGTTCGACCGCAATAAATGGACTGTGCATTAAAAGTACACCTACCAAATAACTTGGCCGTAAAATATTGTGTTGGCCGTTTGTAGATATAGACAATTCTATTGTTATTGCGATATAATTGTAGAACGATTGTTACCAACGAGGAGCAACGACCGATGTATGTGGGCTACTGGCTACTCAGAGTCTAACTTTCAACTTCGCCTCGCAGAAACGACTATTAAATTATATTTCCAATATGGAAACATTACAAAATTACCATTAATTTTATTATATTAGCAACCTGTCATAAGTATTTTAAATAAATATACGATTTATCGCTCTCATAATAGGCATATGTTAAAAGATCGACTAAAATAAATGGCCATAACATGGCACGCATACTTATTCTATTTAGTATTCGAATGCATAAAATTATTTAATAGTGATCTATTATTAAGAAGCAAGTTTTCGGAGGTATAGTTTCCTTTTATGTGTGGTTACCCATAGTACTATGTGGCGATCTATATTAATCAAGTCTAGTATTTCAATAGTTTTTTTTAATCGGCTGAGTAGTTCTAAAATGCTTTTACAGTACCTAACTCTCTAAAAAAACAAATTGACTTCTAAAGGTTTAGTAGCTGTTCTAATATATACAAAATAAAGAAAAAAAATAGGTAGCTGCTTAGTAATGAAGAGCCGGAAGGTACCTATACAAATTCGTAACATAATGTATGTATGCCATAGGATTAGAAATGGAATGGCATCCGAAACGAACGTTTGAAAGTAACAAGAACAATGCTTTCCACTTTAGCGACGGAGTTAGTTGCAAGCACGGGAAGCTAACGGTTATACTGAACAGGCTCGAACCAATGATTAATATCAATATCTACGTCCCCACTCGCTACTTGAAGGCTGCGTTGGAAAGAAAACGTGATTAATGTTAAAAAAGAAACAAGGTTTAACTAACAAGAGGAATATGAAATTCTTAAGGAAATTTTGGGATAGAGCTGGTGTTTCATTTTATCTTAAAACTTTTATATAAAACTACCACATAAAAACTAGCGGAATTTAGCTTGAACTCA